TGACTCAAATTTCTTTTAAAAATTGGGGCAATAATTTTAATCAAGGTGTAGAAATCACATCAGTAAAGCAGTTTCTATCAGACTTACTGACTGGAGAGAGAACGGACTTGTCTCAGAGGTTTAGTGCTCCCATTTCAAATTAATTTTTATACACACTCAATTTCATTTATATTAGAATTATTTTCAATACTGTTCAGTATTACATTTCTTAGTTGCAACATTTATTTTCTGTTGCAATGAAACATATTCAAATTCTTGGACAGATTTTCTTTTTGAAATTGCAGTTCTGTGAACACTGTCAGAATTACAACTCTTCTTTTTTTTTTACCGAGCAGGCAAAATTGGACATTTAAATGATTTCCAGAAAATTAAAAGTCTTGCTGCAAGTAGATAGTTATGTAGAAAAAAGCTTTCGCATTCTTGACTGCATCCTTGTAAAATGATATTAAATATGATTGGATTTTTTTTCCTGAAGATTACAGAAGCCATTTTCCTTGTTATGCACCTTTGAATTTTAATTTTTATGCAAGTACATAAGTTGTACTTGCATAAAAATTAAAGAAGCCTTTGGGTTTCTTCCTGTGATCTGATTTGCAATGAATCTAAAGAGTTGCAAAAAAGGTATAAAATTTTTAATGAAACATTCCGATTTTCAAAGGAAGGCAAAAATTTAACAAGGTCTGAAATATAATGTGAAACAGATCTACTTCTCAACTTGGATATAACTGATGTTTATTGTAAAAATTAAAATAATGTAATTCTGAGATTTCTATATTTTCTTTTTAATGTCAACTCAAATAAGATTCAACAGCAAAAAGTTAATTGAATAACTTAATCACATTACTTTTGACAAAAATGAAACTATCTTACTGTCAAGTATTTTTGTTAGGAGGAAAAGAAAAAAATCAACCTTCAGGGATAGCAAAACTGTGAAATTTTCCTTTGAATAAAACAGTTGATAAATTTCCTTTTGGGAAAACTCACTACTTCTGTTGTTGTTAAAAGTTTCAAAGAAATAATACATATTAATGTCACCAAATCAATATTTTCTAGTGGAAGTACTGTCTCAGCTAATGTTTAGCTGACAAATATAAGCTTTTTACCTTTAAAGCACACAGCAGTGATATTAATTTTTTTGCTAGCAAAAACTATTAAAAAGGGAGCTGTACAGCTGCGTTCAGGATATACTCTGTATAATTTACCAGGGCTCTTCTATTTCTGATTTCAGTAATTCACTGAAATATTTATGGCCTTGCCAGCACAATGAACACACAGAGCTATCTCTTTAGTTGTCATTATGCTGCTTCCAGTGGGGAGGGACAGGTACAGTTGTAGTTCATCAGCAGAAAGAATGTCAGAGGAATTCCCTCAATGCACACTCCTCCCTCAAGCTGGACCTTGCAGGAAATAAATTTGCCTAATACTAAAAATACAGGAAGATACAGCATCTTTAATATCAGGAGCCAAACTAATAGAAGTTAACAGGACATGCCACAGTAACAGCTGGATTTTGATGTACAGGCAGAAGGCAAAAAGGGGAGGGGGAGCAGCTGATGTTCTGGCTGATGAACTACAGCCAATTACCCGCACAAAGTTACAGCACTGCTGTGTTCATAAAATACAAGATTCAAGAACAGAATAGCAAAAATGTATGAATAAATAATGTATAATAAATGTATAAATAAATAGCATTTATTCTGTTGTAACAGACAAACACACCAGGCCTGCAACAAACAAAAGAAATATGAATACTTCATAATACTGGCCTTTTTCAAAATAGCAAAATTGTTATTTGTGAAGCCTTGTTACTCTACAGCTTAGTTCCACCCACACTGTCAAAAGAACAGGAAGGGAGAACTGACACTTTCCTGACTATGGAATGGTTTTGGCATTTGAACACATTATAGCTGAAAAATCCCTAAACTGAAGAAATGGATAGATCCAATATTTCAGCTTTTAATGCCAAAGATCTAAGGCATTGCCCAAAAATAAAAAGCAATTTTAACCATCAAGAGAACAAGCACTAATGGATGCTGAGCAGCAGCAGTTTCTGTTCTCTTATCTAGTCAGCATTCAGGGAAATTAATATAAGATCCAGGCAACTAAACTTCTGCCTGTAGGATCTTCAAAATCAAATGCAGAGTGACTGGCAAGATCAATATGAGTAAATTAAGTAGGAGTTTTGGAACCTGTATTAATTTGGATATCATTTGAGTGAACTTCAGCGTGATTGCCTCATGTCAGATCCCGGGCTGAGAGCAAATTACAGGAATGTGATGGGATAAAAAAGCTCAAAATTCAGTGGTTGAGTTCCCACTGAGTGGAGACCCTGGCTTCAGAGCACTTCCTGGATGGGGATGGTTGGAATTGTGTCAATTACAGCAAGATTGTATTTTTGGACAGAAGTGTCAGAGGCAGAGGGCGGAAATCAGCAGCCAAAATACTTGAAAGCTGTGTTATATGAGTGCCCATTTCAAAATGCTGATTGCCTGCTCTTTGATGAGGAGATAAGTATGTTCCAGGGTTAATCAGATTTTGGTCATTACCAGTACCCAGTGTATTCCTTTTCTAAATTTGAATTAGAAAAGAAGAAAATGCTATCACTATTCTTTGTAGCATGATTTGCACCATATGGTCTACTAAGTGCAGGCAGCAACTACTTTTAAATGCTGCAGTTCTTCACTGAGGCATTATTATCCTCTGCATGATGGAAGTCATTTCAAGTGTTCAGGAGATGCTCACATTCTGTAAAGCAGAACAGCCTCTCAAGGCCTGGTTTCTAAAAAGAGCTTACAGTCCTTAAAGAAGATGAAGAATGGCTCTTTCAAGGGATGAGCCTGATTATTCTGTTTATTACTTCATTATTTGCATTTGAGGTCTGGAGGATCCTGAAGCAGTAAGCCCTGGAAAAGGAGCTGTTGTTCTTTTTCCAGTGTTCGCCTGAAGAATCACCCAAGTGCCTTCACAGAGCTGTCACTCAGCCTGCAGAGCTGAAAGCTGATCTGCAGCAGTATCACAAGGCAATGTGTTCTTATATTTCAGGAATACACTGAAATTCTTCAAGCCTTTTCCCTCAGGCAAAACATCAGCTATTACAGAGGAAGGGGATAGTTTGTGTGGATAACTTATAAATATGTCATTTTGACCTGGTTGTCAAGGAAGATTTTTTTACAAAGGAAGCAGTTTTCTGTTGGAAAAACACTCTACAACATTTTCTTGGCACCCAGACTTTGTTTCACATGTATTGTAAATGAATCAAAGAGGAATTTTGGCTGGGGCTCCTTCAATTCGTATTTACAAGAATTAAGCAAATAATGAAAGAGAAGTTCTATTTAGAAGGTAAAATGTATCACAGAGGTTTCCCAGCCAGACATTCTGATCCACTGAGCAACCTGAAAAAATATTAACTCCAGTTCTCTCTCTAAGAATTCAATAACCAATTATTATGCTGTGGCCACCTTCCTGGGAAAAGGAAACCCTTCAGTCTGCACTGTAGTCTCTAGTACACTTTTCTCTTTGATGGTTGATATTTATGAAATACCACATACACAAGAGCCCACTTTCTATGACAGTTCATCTGCAAGAAAACTTCAGATCACATGGAAAACATTTAGTGAGAAGCTGGCAGAGAACACTGCAGACAGAATGCTATTACATAGTTCCTTTGCCTTAACTACTTTTATTTGGAGGGAGAGGGAGAAAAAAGCCAGTGAGGTTTAAAGCCTTAATCTCATACCCAAGCTTGTCAGAGCCCAAATCTATCTGTAATGCTCTCCAAATCAGAATGAACTCAGAAAGATGACGTTCAATCTTTAAATCCTTCTCTGCAGATCTATTTTTAATTCTCAGGTTCATAAAATGGATCCCTGCTGTGGTTCCAGAGCTTTCTAGCATGTATTCTACCCATTATGTTTGACATAAGCACATGTTAGAATTCAGCTGCATTTAAAACCAAAAGTTTTCTTTGCACAATTTTCTGTGTAGTGTAATAAGAGCAATTCAGTGTGACAGAACTATGATTATCATTGGTGGAAAACCAATTATCTCCTCTCCTGGTCACTGTTATTCTTTTCACTCCACCAGTAATTCTAACTCTAATATTCTGGACACTTTTGAAGAAATTTTATCTTCTTATTTTGCTTTCTTTGCCACGGAGTGAGTAATAAATTAATGCTTCATAAATAACATCAAAAAACTATTTTTCATATCTTATTTTCTCAACAACCATTTTTTCAGTCTCTCTAAATTAATTCCTGAACAGTCCTTTGATACAAGAATTATGGACAACCATAATTAACCACCTTTCCAAAACCTCCTGTGATGTACCATTTCAGTTCCATTTTTGTAAATCAAAATTGGATTAGAACTGACATGCCTGCTCAACTATAGGCAAATACCATCAAAATACACAATCATTTCAATGATCTGAACCAGGAATTATATGATAATTCAAACCTGTTTCTTAGACTTTCAACTGATGCAGTTTATTCCAGTCACTCTCATGAATTACCATCATTTTCACCAATGGGAACAGCTTTCTGTTCATGACCTGAGGACATACATGGATATCTCCAAATGGAACTGCTGCCTACATTCACTCCCTACAGCAACAACATCTTCATTAAAACACTTTGATACATGTTCATGCAAATCCAGCAGAAAAACATTTTGTAAATATTCCAGTATGAAAAACAGAGCATTAAAGTAATGAAATTCTGCTAGTTTTACATGATTCTGGTAATCTTCATATTCCTCACTTTGGCACTAATTTTGTGCTGTAAGTTTTGCTGCGAAGAAATGTACTCTGGAATAACTTTATATTCTAATTATAGTTTGATGAAGATGCTGCCTGAGCTGACACTGAACCTGCTCTGTCCTTCCATGCTAGGAATGATTTATTCAGCCAGTTCACATCCAATTTTAAATGAAATTATCCATCTTCTTGGCTGATGAACTGATAGCAGATTTCAAAGCACACAGAGATGGACACACTCACTCACAATCCACTTCCAGAATGGCACGGACAGACTTGGCAAGGTCCCTGGCTTCTGCTGCAAGAGCTGCTGTGACAGTGGGTCCGACCCTTCCCAGCCGAGCCAGAAGTGCTTTAGTGGACAACGTCCTCCTGTCACTAAGATAATGAAAAAATGAGTGTTTATTTGTAATATGACAGAGGAAACTGCTCCTTTTAACAAGGTAAACTTGTTTTTCTGAAGTGTTTTTGTTCTCACTGTATGAACAAAAAAGATTCATGCTCCCAAATCAGTGGGTCAGCCCCAGCAGCAGTCCTGGCTGAACAATGAAGGTTTTTGGAAAGTTCAATTCAAATAATATTCAGAACTCAAAATGCAGTATCAAGGACTCAGAGGGTGTCAGGAACGGAACTTGAATGGAATTTTCATACCAGCATTTAAGAAGGGACACTGCTTCATGGGACCCAACTCTTATCTTCTCTGCTGTTAGTGAGTCAGTTTGTCACCTTGGCTTAGTATTTGATAATTAATCCATTCACTAAAATAAATTCTGTGAACTTCATAAAACAGACAACATCGTTGTTGTGTGCAGTGCCAATGGGAACTGCATCTCACCCATTATCTACAATATCCTAGTGGGTCTGAGCCTACCTAGGTATTTTGAAATATAGTTCCAGTTCACTTCACTTAAATACATTTAATTTTCTTGAGAGCTGTATTGAAAAAAATCTGCAGGAAAGAGAGGGAACAATTTTACTGTTACATAAATATTAATGAAATGCTATCTGCGATATATAGCCACAATCATGCCAATTTTCTGAAGGACCAAAGGCTGCTTAAATCTTCTTGAATATTCCCAGCAGCTTTTTAAACAAGAAAAGTAACAAAATGTAAATGGATATACATTTTATCAATATATTTATACGCTACTGCATTCATTGTAATGCAAAATCCCCTAGGAAAATCTAAAAAAAAAATTAAAAAATTATAACCCACTGTTAAGGTTCCTTGCATTTTAACTAATCATTAGTACATTATAATTACTTTATGGAAACATCCAGACAATCATAGCTATGTAATTACTAACTGTTTTAATTTAATTCAGAGGTTTTTAATGAAGCTGTATCCTGAAAGCCTAATTTATAATTCACGCCATTTCCTCTCCTTCAATAAAATGACTCTCAGAACTATACAGCAAAAGTATAGAAAAAACTAGCTACAAGGCAGTTCTTTGAGACTTGGAAACAATAGTGGAGTTTTTCACTATTAATATTGCCATTTCATTACCTTAAAATTGTTGATGAAGTGGAGTTATCTGAAAGTATTTCATGCACAACCTGTTGGTGACAGTCAAGAAGTGTTAACAGTTTATAAATCAACACATTCAAAAAGTTAATACCTTATAGTTTGATCTTCTACTTGGGGGTGGGGGACTTGATTTACAATTAAATAGTCTAGTTTCTCCCAGCTTGAAGGGCAAAAGTAAAAACCAAAATATTATAACCCCTTTAAATTAAGTAAATATAACCATATCCCTTTTTTTGTTGCTGTTTCATAACACGCTAAAGATTTATCAACTATTAGCTTTTCTGCCTTTTTCTTCTGAGGAATTTCATAGAAATTGAGGGAGTTTAGGTGGAAAAAATTATCTGATCATTTTCATTTGTCCAGTACAGCAAAACCCGAAGATTATGTAAACTACCAGATGGATCTGCACACTTACACATCATCTATATTTGTAGGAATGGAAGGATCTCTGCAAACTGGTTTATAGCTATTTTACTACACTCATTCCTCACAAACATCAACAAAACCCTTTTCCAAATAAGATATTACCAAAGATGAAAGGCAGAGTTACCTCTACAAATTGCAGCAATTTTTCAGTGGCCACCTCAAAGGTCTTCCTGGCCGACTCGGATTTCCGCAGCTGGCAGTCAAGCACTGTAACCCTCTTTCTCAAGTCGTGAATGCTCTCCTGGGAAAAGTATTTTAGGGCTTTTATTCTAATAATTTTCCTCCCATGGTTCACACAGAGACATAGTGTGAACAGAGTGTTTGGAATGTTTAACATGCTGTTTTCTACATTTCTGTAAAACATAAAACTGGAATGTCTGAGCAGCTGGCAAATCAGCTCCAAACTGCAACAGATTTTGGCAAATGATGGAAAGGTAAATTAAAATTCGAAGATAACAACAGGAGTAGGGCTGAAAATTAAGAGAGTTTGAACTGACTGATAAATGGATCAAAAATACCAACCTAATGGTGACAGTAGCTCAGGAGGGTGCATAAACAGCCAGAACAAACTCAGTCCCCTAGCTTGCATCCACACATTCATCGGCCAACACAGTAATTATGGCACATCCTGGAGGGAATTACCCCCTAGGATGTCTCTGCATGCACTTGTATAACCTATTGATCAGTGTTATGCATCCCTCCCTCCTTCAGTGCAGAAGATGTGAGCCCTGTTAGGTCCAGCTCTGGGTTTCATTAGAGTTCCTGGCACTGCTCCTGTGACAGGACCATGAGTAAAGTCCTCACGTGGACCTGGGCATGTTCTGTTCAGCACAGCTGTCTGCTGAACACAAGATCTAGAAAGATCTTTCCAAAATACAGAAAAAGCACTGTAGTTAAAAAGAAACTTTTTCATCACACTGCAGGTGATCATTCTGAAAGCCCACAACCTACTCTAAAACCCCTACAAAATAATCACCAAACCCCACTTACTAACTTCACTGGAAGCAAATAATTTGTGCAAAGCAGCAGAATCATCATCCCCCCTGAATGTCAAAGAATCTATTGATTCAAACACCTTTTTTTGGTAATTTTACTGTAAACTCTGGAGAAGAAGCTGGTGAAAGAACTCACTCTTTCCCACTAAAAAAGTGAGAGGGACCAATCTGATTTTTATTTATGCCTCAACATATGTTATATTCCATTTAGTGAGTGTGTTTTAGGGGGAGATTTACTCATGCATTAAAGAAAAAAAACCAGGTGTTACCCTGCCTAAAACTTGGCTCCTGTAACTGACTCCCCTTTTACAGCAGGGTGGGGACAAAAGGCTATAAAATGGAGTTGGGACCTACTTGATACTGGTTCTCTTGGATAAGAAATGCAGAGATTGAACTCTCCACACAGATATTGTAGTACTCAGTCAGAATTTCAGGAACTCAAGCTAGAATCTCTGGAACAAACCTCCAGGAAAGCAACCCACACTGTATGAATTTCTTAAAATTTGGTAATTTATAGAAGTCCTAGAAAACAGTTTTCTAGAGTCTAGATGCAAGAACACCTGACATAAAAGATGGAGCATCTCACCCAGATGTTCAGAAAAAACATCTAGGGTGTGATTTACCTCATCACTCACACTCAGATAATTGGAATTCCTGCTGGGAGCCACAGGGACTTCCTAAGCTGTTCTCTGCAAGCTTGTTTATCCCAGAGCTTGACTTTACCTTCTAATGTCTTGAAATATTAGATTAATTCTCAGGATGAAACAAGACAACATTTCAGTAGGTTTTCTTCACCAGGTCATATGCACATTCATTTTTCATGAGAAAAGCAAGGTAACCTCACAAATGCCAACCTGCTTGCACTTGCTAAAACTGTGTCAAAAACACAGGTCAGGAGTTATGAAAAAAATTTTTGAAGTGCATCAAGTATTTTATTTCTTAGCCTGTTCTGAAATGCCTTGCTGAAGATGAAGTACTGAAGTAGACTTAAAATATGAGGTTCAATTAATTTTTTTGGGTTTTTATTTTTTTGCAGGATTAGTAGCATTCAAATGATTACCTTGATTACATCTAAATTTACTTTGGAACAGGACTGGACTTCACATGGTTGTTATTTGCCTAACAGAAACATAAACCTGAAGGCCATTTTCACATGAGTACAAAAGCATAAAAATATATGCAAGGTGTACTCTTTAAAGACAATACATCTGCAGCCCAGAAACTATTCCATGCTTAATGCTTGAGATGTGCCATTCTGACCTATAACCCACATATACCAGGAGCTCCTGTTTTTCCAGCCCAAAGATGTCTGGATAAAGGAAGCCTTGTACACTTCACATTACCCTCTTCAATCCACATCATCCCAGTTATTGAATAATACAAGACAAACAGTGACCTACTTTAGAAAAGCAGATGAAAAGAAAATGAAAACCAGATACATGACAACAGCAAGGAAACCATGGTAACTCTGACAGGCTTTGCTTACTTTATTTTGGCCAGAATGCTCAGTGAGCTGAGCCTTCAGCTCTCCAATTTCAGCCTCCAAGAGGCGAATCACCTCCTCATAGTCCAGCTCCATGCCCCGGGCCTGCCTCTGAGCAGCCTCTGCAAGGTGGATTCTGCTGCGCAGGGCTCGCGTCTCCTCCACAGCTGCCTTGGCTTCCTGCAGATTATATAATTCACAGGAGAAGTTACAACTCCAGCTACCAAAAAAAAAAAAAAAAAGAGCAGATTTAGCTCACAACTACTGCAGTTGGCATCAGGGGTACCTGTTAGTCTTCATGGTTAGAGGGTTCAATGGCTAATTTTTAACATTGCGATGTGCAAATGAAAAGCAGGTATGTACAGAGACATAATTTTCCTAATAAATTAAATTACAAGTTCTATAATTACTGAAAATCTACTTGAATGAAAGGTTTTCTCGAAATGCACCAGATGCTGCTGATCTGCCCCATTGCTTTCACACCAAAAATTACCTTAATGAGATGTTACTTCATTGTATTTTTATTGCTTGAATTCACACTCTAGTCACAGCACACACATCATGTGGATGGACTTTTAATGCAAGTAATTCAGTCCACACTCTTTTCAGAATCAGTGCTTTTTTTTCAAAATCTATTTTTCTACCTCTTTCCTGGTCCTATTATGTTCCTAATATCCTGGATTATCACAGAAGAGTGATAAATAAAACTTATATATAAATAATGTACAGAAAATCAGAAACTGTTAGCTTTTAATTCAGCTAACATAATCCCTAAATGTTGCAAAATCTCCTTTCAAGAAAGATATTGCTCAGTTCATTTTAGGACTGAATATTAATTGAAATTAACTGATTAGTAAATTAGAAAGCCAAACTAAAGGTCTGTACAATGGAGTTTGTTTACACTCATCTAGGAATAAAACAAACAAACTGCTCACCAAAATGTACAGGCTCACTGGCACCAAAATCACTGAGCCACCTTTTCCGTCAGCTATTAATTAATCTGTAGGAAAAGTCACTTTATATCAATTTTCTGAATAATTAAAGTTATCAGATTTGAATACACGAATTCACAGAGCTAGAAGTTTTTTTGTAGAAGTTGCTCAGTTAATGATACTTAGGTGAATATTCTATTCCTGGTCTACCTATTACATTCTATAATTATAATTATATCCTGGTTGGGAACGGAACTAGAGGGAAAACAGGGGGGTGTTTCTCCTCCCATAGAAGAGAAACACACCATGACTCTTTACCATGGGGAGGAAATAACCTTCTAGAAGCTGGGTTTGAAATTGCTGTTTCTAAAAAACCTAGATGACCAGATCTTCCTGTTTTGTGGAAGCAATTGCATATAAAAGGTGTCGTAATAGAAATGTCTAGAGAGGTCAGTTAAACTTAAAAATGCAGATTTAATTCTTTCCTAACATAGAAGCATTTGTCCTGTACCATCAATATCCTTCAAGTTAAGTTTTCCTATATTTTGTGATAATGCTCTTTCTGTAAAATGGTCTACCAATCTCAGCTTCATATGACTTTTAACCTCTACACTGTTATTCTTAATAGAGAATATATTCTGGGCCACAAATCAGTTAATCTCAGTGACATAAAACCAGTACATCATCTTCCTCATCTTTGCAATATAATATAACACAATACCAATTTGGACAATGGCCAGGGACATGCTGGTCTTTAGAAAATAGAGCAGTGGAAGTAACCACACATGTGGAACAGCAACACCATTAGTGCACACAGGTGACATTGGTGTTGCATAATTTAGAGGTTTCTGTTACAGGGCACAAGCACTAAGAGATCCATTTAAGTGACCTTTAATTTGACAGCAAGTAGAATGATTTTCTTTTTTCCTCTGGAAGCATTTGGGTGAACTACACAAGGACCAGCTGCACCTGGAAGCACAGACTCATCCCAAACTGAGATGTGTGTGTTTTTCCTCACAGTTGTGTGTTTATGGCACTGAGAGCAGTGTGAGTGAGGGTCATTACTGCTCACACCCCCTGAAAGCACAGTAATCACCCCACCCCTCCTGCAAGCTGCTCCTGGCACTCCTTTTTCCTAGAAACAATTCAAGGAACACAGGGACTTCTAAGAAGTTACCAACCTACAGAAGTGGAAGTCAAATTACTGCCTTTGGGGAGGGCACTTTCTTGCCAATGTAAGAAAAAAAATGAATCAACAGCAAGAAGAGCTGGGCCCTGCTGCTACAGAGGATGAGCTGGGAGCCTTCAGCAGCAAAAGCATCCTTGGGAAACAGGCTGGAGGTGGGAAAAAGATTCTTGGAGACAAAAGTGAAAAGATGCTCTGACGTTAAGTTTGACTAATATAAATGAACACAGAGGCCTTGAGAAAGGGTGGCATCTTAAAAACCCACACTCAGGAATTATTTAAATAAACTGACATGAGAAAAGTGAAGAGAAAATTGCTATTATGAAAAGGGAGGTCTTCATTTTGAAAGAAGACATCCTTGAGATAAAGGTTTAATCTCTTATAATCCAGAATTGCCTTTACTCCTCCATTGTTTTTTCGGAACCCCAGTTGTTGAATATTAATTTCTCTGTAATAGCAGACTAAGTATGACCAGATTTCAACAGTGAAAGACCTAAAGGAATAATTAAGGAACAATGGCTTCTTACATTACAATGAAACAATTACACACACTACAACTGAATTAGTAAAATTGTCTGACACACCAGTGCTGTTTGCTGGAGCAGAGGGGCACAAAGGGAAATGATTGCATTGGGTTTTTCCATTCTCCAGTTACTGGAACTGGCACTGTGAGCACACAGTGGGTTCTCTCACCTGGCAGGTAAGGGGGACCCACCAGTGAAGAATTGATGGGCAATACCCACTTCAGTAACACGAGCTCTTGTCCCACTCAAATCTATGAAAAAAGTGTCCAAGGCCAGGCTGGCAGGGCTGGGAGCAAGCTGGGATAGTGGAGGGAGTTCCTCTCCATGGCAGGGGGGTGGAATGAGATGAGATTTAAGGTCCTTTCCAACCCAAACCAATCCAGGACTCTAAGACACAACAGATAGGGGATCTGCAGCTGCTAATATTTCATTTATATAAACACCTCATGGGACCCATTGTCCTGATCTGGTATGAAGCCACTACAGCCAATAAGGAACTAACAGCTGGAGGAGAGAAGCTGAATCCTTAAAAAAGCAATTTCAAGGTACAGGTTTATTCCTAAGCCAGGTTCTGTTTCTTCCTTGGATAAATTCAAGCGTGAGAAGGTTTTATCATAGTTTTATTCCAGCCACCACAAACACCTAAACTAAGATATTCTTTTAAACTATGTGAAAATTGTAGTTACAAACCAATCATGCTTGTTGATTAATTCTACAAAAATTGTATATTGAAATCATCCTTTACAAGAAGCTTGAATATCTTTACTATAAATAATAAAAATATATAATATATTAATATATATATTATTAAATGATATTAAATAATAAATTATTTAATATAATTATTTATTATTTTAATAATAATTATAAATATTATAATAAATTATTGATAAATAATTTATAATTATTTATTATAATTTAATATAATTATTTATTATTTAATTATATTAAATAATAAATAATATAAAATAAAAAACCTAATGAAATAAACCAAACACTTCTTTCAGGCAGGGTGAAATAGATTAGATACTGCTTCCAAAACAGCAGTCATTCAAAGCCCCTATTTTCCCCTCAGAGAAAACAACCACAGAGTAGCAAATCTCAGCCCTATGAACCAAGTCCAGGAGTTTGGGACACCACAAACAATTTCTTATCTTCACAACCTCTCCCATTTCCTATGTTCAGCTGAGTGCTCCAGCTGACAGAAAGTGCCCAGAAAAAGCTGTGGTACAGAAGGGATCATTCAGGCTGAAATCCCCAGGACTCTCAGGCAGCACAGGATCCAGCCCAGCTCCTCCAGGAAGACAGAAAACATCATTAAAGATTTCACATTCGTGCTCTTGGCAAGACTTCAGGTACGCAGAAATGCCTTTCTGTGTTCTGTGCCAATTCCAGCTTACATATGATTTCAAGGAAGCCCCAAAGATATAGTGCTACATCACGGCTTCAAAGCCAAAATAGATCAATTAATGGATTTTAATTGTCTCACACCAATATTAGAAAATAATTACTACTTCACTGCAAGTTTAGCAGCATTTCTAATTTTAAGAGTTTATTCATGCTGTTCATTACTGAGTCAAGCACTGTTTGATGAATTGGTACTAACAAAGCATGTTCATTAACCAGAATATTTGTACCCCTGTCTTAATTAATCTGTAATCTCTGCAATTAGCAATTAGTAGAAAAGAGAAATACCACAAAATATACCTCAATATACGATTGGTAACCTAAATCCTCATTTAAAATGTTGTTTTTTCAGGAAAGCAGTCATTTTTAAAAATGTTTAAATTACGCTGAAGTCAGAAGACCTTAAGCACAGCCTTAAATTGGGTTTTTTGTTTATTTTGGTTGTTTGTTACTTTTAATCAGGCATTAGGGTTCAATAATGTACCCATTAACTCCTTTCACTAACCAGCTCAAGCAGGAATGCACATCATAAGTTAAATGGCAACTTGTACTATAAGTAGCCTATTTTAAAAAAACTTATCACCATGAATCTCAGCGCCAATATTGTTTTTAAACAACAGAAATATATATATAATAATAAATATAATGCACTTGAACATGCACCAAGTATAAACAGAAGAAAAAGTCCATTAAAAGCCCACTTTTATCTCTTAAAATAGATCATACAATGCTATAATTATATATAATTTAGTATTTCTCTTTCACTTCACTACATGGAACCCTTTCAATGCCTACAACAAAATCAGTATTTATCCCTGGGAGGTTTGCAGGGCAAAATTGAATCTCACCACCACACGACAGTACCTGAGAAAAATAAAAGTGGGAGGACCTCGAGTGGTGGCAAATGGGCACTGCTGCCACTTAAAACATCTTAAAGCAGCCCTGTCCAAGGCTGCCTTCCCAGGAAAAGCAGGTTTGTACTGGGGATTGTACTCTGTACCAGCTTTAGCCTGGACTAATAACACTGAACAAGTGTTCTGGTCTAGAACAACACAGTCAGCCCATTAGAGAATGGGAATTCAAGTGCATTACTGGAACAATCTTCCAAGTAAATTATATCCAGGAGATAACCCAATTTATTTCCCACAGTGCACAGAAGGAAACAACACAATACTAATGGAAAAAGATTCCAAGCAAGCTCTTGTATATTCAAGGAATAAAGGTAATAATGAAGCTGTTCAACGAATCTTAGGAGCAAGATATAAAACTAATCTTAACAGAGGGGATTTTCAAACTTTATCTTGCATTTCTACATGACATGTGACATGAGAAACCCACAAAGAACAGGTGCAGCAGTGCAGGAGGGAAGGAAAGCAGCCAGCGCATTAGAAGGAAAAGCTGACAGGGTGTTCAGGAGGAAGAGGGAACAGGAAATTTCCTTGAGTTTGAATCCAGGCTATAAATGACATGGGACTTACATTTAATTGGGAATTTCCTTTAAGAGACACAAGGAAGCCAAACACTCTGATTTATTGGCTCATAATTATAGATAGATTTGGAGGCAGAAAAAAGACTTTCCTCAGAAAATCCTGACTACAACTTTTTTCCCTGGTAATTTTTTCACACTTAAGACTGGTTGACATATAAAGCAGTTAATGTTAGGACTGTAAATTAGCCAACTGTTGCCTAAGAGCAGCAAAATCTCTTCAAGAACCCTTAAGACTAGAAAGGTTCTACTACATAATTATCCCACTTCATTGATCCAGCTGGTCTCAGGATTCCTATCTCAATTCAATAGCAGAGAAATCGATTACTGCTCTAAAAAGCGAAGAATCAATTCTCCACTTTTAATCAAAAGCTCTTCAGTAGCACAAGAACCATCTTTGTGTTGAAATCAGTGTGAAAGCATAGTCTATATGAGCTCTAAGAGAAAAAGAAGTGCTCCTATCTCCCTTCCACAAAAAAATTTAAAAACTTTTACATGATTATAATTTTTAGAGATTTCAACATACTTGCTTGACTACTTGAAGCTGCTCTGCTAACTGCTTCTGTAAGTTCACAGATTCAGACAGTTCTTCCTATTAAAAAAAAAAGAATGATAAATAAGTTTGAAAGAGAAGGAGTTTTGATCCTAAAGCAATTAGCTTTTTCAAAACTACAGATAACAATACTTAACTTCTATCAACAACTTTTATAAAACCTGTGATAAAAGCATCTCTAAAAGATAACTTTTCTGTGATTTCATTGATGCTGTTTAAGTTTCTTGAGTATTTTAGAATTATTTACTGCACATTTCTGGGATGGGTGCAAAAGAGTGTAAGAAATAAAGCAATGTATTATAGATTGATGATTGTCAGTTTTCCACATCAGCAATTCAGGGACACCTGCTCAGTATTCCCTGTGTTCAATGTAAATGGGGTTCTTTCATTTCAGTACAAAGCTCTCAGAAGAAGAATCACTGTGCATAGAACAGAGAACTGACCTCTGGCCATTTCAACCCAATGTTTCTGTAATTTACAGCAAGAAATTTTTTGGACCAATGGGCAATTTTTAAAATTGTCTTTGTCCCAAGCTCAGTACTCTTGCTGAAGAACCAGAGTTATGTAAGCTTAACACAGAACTTCCTATCTTATGGTTTGTTAAAAAAGAAATTCAGGACCATGGGAATGTGGTAGCAACCTGGGGTATTAAGAAATAATATTTATTGCTTTAGGACATGGGAATTTTGTAATGTCTGGGAAAATATGCATTAATTGTGCACACAGATTAATTTATCCTCCAGTTCTGATTCCTTTCAGAAGTATTAGCACACACTCAGCCTCTGCAGTTACTAGCATCATTTTTAAATAAAATGGCCATGCAAATCAGTAATTTCTATACATTCACTTCTGTGAAATGTCTGCTTAGTCTCATTTCTCTATAGACCAGATTAAAAAATGTGTTAGTATTCAGTATAATGGCTAAAATACACTGTCTCCACAAATACATTGTAAGCAATCTTCAAACGTGATTAGGACTGTTTGCACTGCCATTTTATTTATCTCTGAAAAACTGCACGTGAAATTCAAATAACCAATAAATTCCTATACACACTCAAAAAACCTCCCCTAGTATCTTGAATAATTTAAAGCAAATAAAAAAAATAAATGTTACCTTTAATTTGCTAATTTCTTTTAAAGCTTCATTTCTTTCTTTCTTAAGTTTTTCCACATCATCCTCCAAGGAATCACAGGTTACAAACTGTGTGTACACAAATATATAAGGTTGAATGGATTGCTAACTATGTCTTCCATAATCTTTAACATCTTATATTAAAAGTTGTTGTTAATAAAAGGAGAAGAAAATATTAATTTTAGGATGGTTTACAGATCTGAAAATGCTAAAAATGTTTAATAAAATTTTAAACAACTTATCTTCCAAATGAACAATTACTTTTCCTTTTAAAATGGATTAATAAAGTGTTTTTTAAAGTATCAAGAATATGTCACTATTTCCATATTTTAAATAATAAGGCATTATATTTTAGTGTTCATATACTAAAAATGCTCTTTTTTAAAGTCACCTCTAAATTAAAATGATTTTCACTGTAGCAGTAGTTCAAATCACTGGGCCCAGTAATTGTTTCTCACTCACACAGGTTGTAGCAATCCAAATTCTATTAAGAAACCTCAGTAAATCAATGTTGTCCAGACTTACAACTACAAACCACAATTTAATTACATTAATTGCTTTTTTCAAATTAGGCTGCTTAAAAAAAGCTTCACAGAAACTAGGTTATCTTAAATAACCCCATGCTGCAAAGCTGTTTCAAACATCTGCCCAAGATTTGGAGTTATTTTACATACAATAAACTCTCCAATAATCTCCTCCCAACTGTTCAAACACTGACTAGGCACATATTTTACCTGTGAGTCCTGCAAGCTGGCAACTTCACCCATCCCAAAGGCTTCAGATTTGTGGCCATCATCCGTTTCATTTGATTGTACAGACAACAGATTCCTTGAAACTTCAATGAAATCTAGGAAAAAACCAGTTCAGATTTGGTTGTTGTAGCCTGGAAGTTCAGTTTAGTAACAAATCATTGATGCAACACAACTGCCAACATCACCATGAACAGCCACTCTGATAAATGCAGTTTTCTAAAGGAAAAAAAGAAAATCAGAGAGGTATCTTCAAAGAGAAAGTTCTAGTAAAGCTGATGAGAATAAAAATGCCCAAACACATTGGAATTAAGTATCCTCAAATCAAATTGTGATGGAGAAAAGAAAACAAAGGTGGTGTGAAGTTCACCTTCAAGGTACCTGAGAGGTTCTGCATTTGGCAGGTGTCTCTGGAAAATGAAATAAGTCTGCACACCAGGTGTACACACCTGCCCTTCCAATCCATTGACTTTACCAGAGGAGACAAGAAAAAGGAAAAATTTCCTGCTAGCTCAGAGCTCATGGTTTCCTTTTCAGACCCTTTATACCCCTGATAGAGGCTTGGTAAAATTGATGTTGACCAAGTTTTAAATATAAAGAGTCTTTAATGCACAATAAACATGACTTGGATTACCCAGATATTTTGGATTTAAAAATTCTGCTACACTATGACAGAAATGTGGAAATATAAAGGTCAGTTTACACCACATAAAATCTGATAGAACACTCAGTATTTTTCTTGTTGAAGATCTTTTTGGATGTTTAAGTACAAAATACTATTTTTCACACACTAGTGTTTTTCACAGACTTTAGGGAAAGGGAAATTTCCATCAGTTTTAGCATCAGAACCATCGTGTCTCACAGTTTCTGAAAAATATTTTTAAATTGTGCGTGTCATCAACCAAAATTGTTACAACTACAAGAAGCAACTCATTCTCATCAGAATTAGGTTTAGCTGGAAGAATTGTGATGGTCTCCCTGCAAACCTGTTTCTATATGCAATAGTTAAAATATTCTTGCTTCCCACATACTGAAATTAAGTGATCCATCTGTTTACTTGCCTCAAGAAGCTTCTTTAACCATCAAAACTCTCCCAAATAATTTCTGGAAATATTACAGTTCCCTATTGTCAGAACAAAAAATTCAAGATTTTCTGAGCACAAAATAAAACTTTCCCAAGGCTGCTCTTAATAAAATAAATTTGTGATTTGCATTCCCGTTATTTAGCTTCAAGTAGAACTTCAAGCTTATTTTTATACAGCAAAATAAGGTTCTTGCCTCAAATTATTATTTTATTTGCAGCAGCAGCCCAATACTGACAAGAAATATATTAATGGTTATTATCTATAATTTTTGTATTCCTACTTTTCATTATTTTCTATGGTAATTAACAAATTAATACCTCCAAAAGACACTGTTCCCTTAGAATCTTTATGAAGTTGCTGCCTTAGGGCTTGCTGCTGTTCATCTGTGAGTTGAATCCCAAGATAATTCAGTGCCTGGAAGGAAAAACTTATTTTGGAGTGAAAAAAGACAGGACTAAGGATAATGACTGCAGGGACATGGGGGAGTAATTAAAGACCTACACTTCAAAGAGCCTTTGTATCCTGGTACACTCTCACTGACAACACTTTTATTCCAGAGCCACTCAGTGACTTTTCCTTCTAATTGAGAGATGTTCAGATATTATTTAACCTTGAATGCAGATGAGTGTAATAAGCAAACCCCTTTGTCCTTAATAACTGCTTTAAAAATCCTGAGGGAAGTTCTGATTCCCAGAAGAGTTAATCAGTAATTAGATTAACAAAAACAGTAATTTGCCCAATACATAAACTGAAATATTGGCCTGCGACATGAAAGATCCACCGAATAGATAATTCTGTGTGTCATTTATACTTTAAAGTTTGTCAGCCTAGAAATACTGTCCAGATGTCTTACCTGCATCATGAAGGGGGAAGAAGGAGAAATCAAGATTTTTAAGTATTTACCCTCTCCAGCTTTTCTGTTTTGAGATGAATACTCAGGTTCTTTCCTTGGGGCTCATAATCATCATTCTGGCTGGGGGCAATAACTAAGAGATTAAAAAAAATAAAGTAATATTAATGCAGTGGTAACTATTGCTTTGAAAAAAATTGCTCTGAAGCTCTGCTCATCAAGTGGATGCCAGCTAAATACCCACCTGCCAAAAATACATGTTAATCCTTAGACTGGCTTCTTTTTTTAAAGGACATAATTGTAATCAAAAAAAATTATGGGTATCAATCACTTCCACTATTTTTTTTTTTTTTGTTTTTTGCATAGAAAAGTGACAAGTAGGAAATGAACAGAAAACAACCAGGAACAGCTTTCAGTGATCCATCAAGCATATGGCTTCTCCTTGTGGTATTTTCTCTCAGAGATACACAGATACTCAGGAAACAGAAAGGGAAACACACTTGTGAATTCCAAGAGAGACCTCCAAGACACACCCTCAGTGTAAGTGACAGCTGGCACATGGAGTGATCTAGAAAACACTGGGGAAGAGAGGGAATGACCTGCTCCCACACATGGCAGGGAGCTCAGGCTGAAGCCCACAGCCTCCTCAGTAATTTTTCCTGGAAAGGAACTCTTTTCTAAGAACTCCTGTCCATCAGGCCATCACCCATCAGCCCCTTTCTACCCTTATAGTCAGAAACACAAGTTTAAATGGGTTTTTTGGACTATCACTTTGGATTTTAGATGTATGTAAATAAAAAAAATAATTGTTTGCATTCCTTATTTATAAATATAATGTGGGTCTTAATTCATCATTTCATTAGTGAATTAAAAAGGTACTGAAATCAGACCAGTGTTTGACAAGTAAAGGATCTTGCAGTTTGAGATTCTCTCCAAAGGAACAGAAGGAATCACAGAGAATTCTTTTTTTTTTTTTTAATTTTTTTAGTTTCACAGCATATCTGTTTCCAAGCTCAAAGTAATTTACATTCTCTTTACATGCCAAAAGCATAAACCAAAATATCTTGAAAATCTCTGACATTAACACCTCTCACATCCTATATTAAAAGTCTGAAGGCAGTGAGCTAGAACCTTGGTGGAATTGGCTCAATTTCCCTTCAGCTCAGAATGAAAAAGCCTCATGTGTGAGTTTGGGCAAAAACTTCTCAAAACTATGCTGATTTTTTTATAAAGTGTTAAAAACAAGAGTGTCTCATCTTAGAGATGCTTTAATTTTTCAAGGTTATCTTTGAAAGTTTATCCTTGAAAAAGGGCAGCATGAAAGAAGTGACAGGCTTTTCTAAAGATGTGCTGTTAAATAAGAAGAAAATGAAACATGACTAGAGCTGCAAGTGTTTGTGCTTTCTGCTCTACTCCCTCCCTACATTCTTCAGATGTGTTCAGAGACTGTGCCCCTCCTGGTATCTTTAAAAAAATAAGCTCCTGTGTACTGAATTATATTAACCAAGAGTCTTATATACTGAATATATTAAAAAAAAAGACTTTTGTCTTGTTCCTTTGATTCAGTGTTTGTCATAGCCAATATGTAAAAACTGTGTGATCATCAATCTCCAGGTGTATTCAATACTAAAACTTTGCCAGTTTCAACAGCCTACATTTGCTCAGCTCACCCTTCAAGGCAGGGAACCAACTGGTCAGATTTGCAACATGGGAACTGTTTCATTTTAAATTTGAATATCTAATATGGGGTATAATAAATGCAGGTACAATTTAAATAATATCAGTGGAGAGATATCTGGAATGAATCAGATCCTGTGCATTTGTCCTTCCTCTCCTCAATATGTTAGACATGAGATTGAGAAGTTCAGCTTAAGCTTAATTGCTGCTGCCTGAAGAAAAAGAATATTCAGGTCTGCATAGAGAAATACAGAACAGAGTCAGTTCTATCAGCGTGCCAATGGGGACTCCCATTATTGTGTCACACTGTTTCTAAATACAACATTCTTGTTTCCCACAGGAATTACAATTGTTCAGCTCAGATTTGGTTCTGACCATGTTTCACAAACCCTGATTTTCCTTAAATGTTGTTTTCAAAATATTTCAAGATGTGATCAAAGTAACTCTTGTCCTTGTTACAATGTCATGACTCTAAAACAGAAATATACATGATATATTGTATTTGTTACTAATGGAAAAGCTGTTAAGAGGGCTGCATGTTAATTCTATCCTTTCAATATGCTGCCCTGATTTAAGCAAAAAAACCATGCAAGCAGCACACATGCCCAGAATTTCATCAAATCAAGAAAGCACAGTTTCTATGGCAACCTAATCTTGATCTATATGTGAGTCTTCATTATCAGGTTTCTACTGAGTCTATTATCATGACTGCTGTATAGCAAATGTTGTGATCACTCATTTTTGTTTGGTTTCAGCTGTTTGTTAGAGACAATGTAAGTTATATTTGACAGAAGCTACTAAAAATCCATTGATCTCAGTGCTTTATTTAGGAGTATAAAAACAGTGCAATATTCCCTTTTTTTTAAAGACTACTGAGTCTCACTATGCACTGTGCTCTGTTTGAGTGTTATTGAATGAGCAAGGAAAAGGGTGGCAGGGAATGAAATCAGCCCTTACCCGTGGCAGACACATCAGCAGGATTGCTGTCTAGAGCAGTAATTGGAGATTGCTCTCCCATCTTGACTCCAGTTTCCATCTAGGAGAGGAAATGAAAAGTCATGAAATACCATTCCTAAAGCAGAACACAAGCCAAAGGAGAAACACAGGTTCATGAAAAAAGGGACAGGAAGGAAGACTGGGGGAAGAAAAAAGGGCTGGGGAGAGCAAAACAACCCCAGGAGAAAAAGAAAGGCAGGGAGGGGGTGACGCTGGTATGGAACAGCAGTGGAAAAAATCAGATTGGGGCCTCATCAAAATCTTGGGTTTTGAAAACCTTCACAGATTAAGACAGCACAGTCTCTCTATAGGAAAGAAAAATGGGCAAGAATTTATATCCCTAATAGGAAAGAAAAATGGGCAAGAATTTTAAGTACAAATATAAGATTTGAAATTCACCTGTTTTGATTTCATAGTTGAGAATATTTTATTCTTCCTTCTTCTAAGGCAATACTTTATTTATCTTTAAAAATACGATAAACTGAAAACCTGCTATCAAATATTGAAATATTAGTTTTAAAATCTTTGTTCTCATGGTCAACATTACTTCTTCACACTAATGGTGAGTTGTATGAATTAAAACAATTGCTGCTTAGCCAAAAGAATGGGGGAAAACCCCATACTTTTAGGACTTTTTTTAAGCAAAAATCTCATCATCACAGAACAAGTGTGAGATTGTACTGTACTCACACATATGTAGTAAGCAGGGAGTGTTTTGTCTCTGAAATACATAACCATTTGTATCTAATTCCAAAACCTCAGAGAAACAGTGAAGGAGAACTTAATATCTAAGAACACAGTTAATGCTTATTTAATTTGTTTTCTTACCCCAAGTCAACTAATTCCTCTCATCAGTGTGGTTTACTCTCCTGTTATACAACATGGTTTTTCCAAAAGTGTTGATAGTCCAAAGACAATATTGTGCAGGAAAACAGACAGTCATTTTCTTAATAAAATAGAAACTCAATTACAATTAGGAGAAAAGCAACCATTTGCTCAGTTTGTTGTAAGAGGATTAAGAAGTACACTCACAGCATCTGGAGGGAATGGTGAAAGCAGCCTCCCAGTAGGAGAGGGAAGAGGACCAAGGGTTGCAGCCTGTTGCTCTCCATGTGCTACAGAAGATGTTAAGAGGCTGAAAGGATGCTGCAGATTCTGTGGAAAACTGTGTGTGTTTTTCTGCCTAATAAAAGCTATCTCCCAAAAATTTTCAAACCTAGAATTAAAATTTAAAAAGTTTCAACATATTGTATACTTATATTATTCATAAGATTATATTTCTGCAAAAATTACACATTTCCAAACACCGTGTGTGGGTTTATTTAATTATTTTTCTAAAAGGATGTTTTGCTACCCATCATTACAAAGACAAATACTGTGATTTTTTTAAAAACATTAAAGGATAATAATTTTGCAGGTCTAAAATGTGCACTCGAATCTTTTCTATGAAATAATATTACAACTGAGTATTTTAAAAAATTAGTATTCCTCATTTCTTCTAAGCACACAAAACCTCATTTCACATTAATCTGACCATAAATATGATCTATTGAACCATTTTGGATGCTTGGCTGTTTGACAGTAACAGATACCTCATCTTTGTTCTGTTGATTATACTTTTTGCCTCTTCATAGGAGACTCCAATCATGGACTCTTTGTTGATGGACACAAGCTGATCCCCAGGTTTCAATCGTCCATCCTAAAATAACAAATATAAAACCAAAGCCACAAACTTGACATTAATTGCTAACACTACAGAAAGAACTGTATAGTCACAGCACTTGGACAAATTCCCCTGGTTCTATTAGGACAAAAAATATCAGGAACAGCTCTGCATTCTGCCTGTGCTTGACAATCCTCCAGAAATAAACAGATTAAGCAATCATCCCTTACCATTAAAGCAATCATTATAAAAACTCATCAGAGAAAACAGATCTCAGAAATTGTATAAAGAAGAACTTTGGACCCAGCTAAACATTTCTGTAAAAAACCAAAAAACATGGAAACAAACAACAGATTTTTCCAGCACTGACCCATCTGACTTTAGGAAGATTCTTTACTAATTAATTCAGCTCTGAGCTGGATTAATTTGTATTTCAAAAGCAAATGTTCATGGCAATACATGGAACTGTTCAGACACTCACCAGCCATGTTAATGAGAAAACCAGATTGGTCTATTAGTACTCACCAGTCAAAACCATGACAGAAATAATATTGTCAGCATTGTGCTTCTGTTGAATTAATTACAAACTCTCTACCAGCACAAGAACTTTTCACATTTCTGTCCCAGAGCCTTTTTTTTTACAGAGAGCCCTCAACAATTCAACTGGAAATTCATGTAATTCACCTATTGTCACAGAGTTCTGACATTTGTCTAATGCAATACACATCATGTAACACAGAACATGTCTCTGCTCTTCAGCTTCTAAGAAATCAGACACAAAATCACTCTGTGAAAAAAATGTGTGCAGAAGATGATACACAGGAAATAAATAAAATACCATCTCAAAACCAGTATAATTTTACCTGCTTAACACCCACATACCATAATTTTTGCTGTGTTGTTTCACACCTATGCCAATACTTTCCTACCTTTTTTTTTGTCACTTAGTGTTTTGGTTTTGGTTAAAGAATAAAGCTGTAGATCTTTCATTTTACTCTCATCTAGCATGTTCTAAGATATCCAACGGTGCCCTCACGTGGCAGACGTTTAAAATATGCTTCCTGTTTCACCTTCCCAAACAGGATAACCAGTACTGGGAAATTACCTCTATTATTGCTAATATTAGAGCCTAATGGAAATTGATGTCTTAGCCTCAGTCTATTGATTATGTGTGATAGGCTTTAAATTATATGTTCACAGTGAGAAAAAAAATATTTTAGAAAACACAACAAAATAGGAGAAAATAAAAGATAAATGATTACCATTTACCTACTGAAAGAGGTCTTTGAGAAATATTGCATTTGTATCTTCCAGCTTGCATTTTAGGAATACACTTAGTCTACAGAAATTCAGTAACAAATAGTTATAAACTGCTTGGGGACAAACCCCACTGCTCATGAACTGAGCTCACCCTCTCTTGCTGGGCCAGAGGCAAAGGCTGGTTATCTACACTTCCAAATAATCATAATTACTCAGGATGCCAGAGGAGACACTTGGATAAACAGTTCTGAGTACCTGAACCAGGATATTACATTATTTATTTGCTTTTTACACTGACAAATCCCCCTGGATTTACATACTGCATTTGTCACAAATTAAAACAATAACCAACACCAATTCATACATTTTATTAGTCTGCACTTTCAGAATATTTTTTTCTAATTTGCCTACACAATGATTTCCAACTGCAAGGATCCATCTAAATTAAGTCTCAGGGAAAGATGGTTTTTTGAATGTCCAAGAAAATAAAGAGGTGCAATCTGTAGCTCTGTCCCATCCTTCCTGCATTACTTTGCATCATGCAATTTCTTACAGAAGTTGGTTTTGTACCTTCTCATACATAAACTGAGGAATAAGATCCTCATTTACCTCAAATGAACTTAGGAATAAATTTTAATTACCATGCAAATCTGTCACATTGCAGTGAGATAATTCTGTTAAAAGAGAGGGCAAGGAGGAACGCAAACACATTTTGTATTTAAAGTATAACTGCAGATGTAGCATACCAAAGCAATGAAGGCAAAAAATACAGGTGTCTGAAGGGGAAGGAAGGGAAAAAAGGTCTTTACCTTATGGCAATCACCACCAGGGATAATTTCTTGAATATATACCAAAGGCCCTTCATTTCTGTTAATTCCTCCCACAATATTCAAACCTAGGTTTGTTCCTTTGCAAACAGAGATAATCTGAAATGCACTGTCACTAGAGACACAAAGAGAAAGAAAAACAGAATTACTTCAGAGAACTAGATAATAAAGACTGAAGCAGTAGCTTATTTTATCTTACAGGTTTTGCAAATATGTATTACAGTAACAAACAGAAATATTATACATTTAATCTCAGCGATCAAATATTACACTATTTACAACAAAATCAGCAATCTCAGGCACTTCTGACAATTACAAAAAGAATTTATACTTTATTTTACAAGGCTAAAAACTCCTGTCTACTATATAGAGTAGAAATATATCCTATACCCCAAGGCTTATGGGAGTATCTGGGTACATATAAATCAAGAGCATTAATTCGTTAGGAGACACAAAAAAATTAAGCTGATTAATCTTCTTCTGCCACACGAACAATAAATAAATAGAAAAGAAACTTATTAGTCTGCAATGTCTATGGTATTATGAGCTACAGGACTAGAAGTTAAAAAACAAAACCAAACTTTAACCCTTAGTGCTCAACCCAAATTTTCCTGACCAGCCAAATAACAGCATTTCCTCAGCATTTCAGTCAGTTTTGGAGATTACTTTGGAAGCTTTGGGGATGGTGATGGGACAGAATTATTTCTGCTGCTGCTGGTGATGTTATCCTTCAACTGCAACTGAGGACTCTGTGACCTTGAGGATGACCCAGAAGAAAGGCTGTCTCTAGATTTTGCTTCAATAAAAGAAATAAAAATAAAAATAAATAAATGAATAAAAACCACATTTGGGAAAAAGCACAAAATTTCAACTCATGTAAGGAAGTTCAGTAGGACTATTTTCATATAAGAAAAAAGACAACAAAAAAAAATGCCTGCACAGTAAAGAACTGAGAGGCACCCAGAGTTCCAGGAATAATTTTTTAAAACATAACAAGTGATTATTTCTTTCAAATTGGGTGTAAAATACAAAACAAACTATTCCCCCATGCTATATAAAGGCATCTCAATTAGCAATTAGGCAGCAGTTCCAGAAAGATTAGAATTTATAGTGCTCTGGATCAAATTTCTATTAGCATTTTGAGGCACATTTCAGCTACAAATACAAAAATACTTTTCATATAAATAATTGATTAAAATTGAAAGTAGATACCAGTATATTTAAATAAAGAGCTAGGGAAACTGACACACAAGTTCCTCAAGGTATATTTGTGTTTTGTTTGACTTACAGCCACTTCCTCCAATACACCTCCACTAAAATAAGGAATTTTAAGTACAAGGTTCTACTCCACCCAAGGCTGATTTTTGTCCCCCAGGATTGTTTCAGGCTGGGAAGAGATCTCTCACCAGCTAAATGATGTGTTGGAGAAGTTCTTGCAGAGGTTGTGTCACTGTGAGAGCCATACTTATCCATTAGGTCATGAAATTCTTTCCTGTGCCAAGAAAAAGATTTTCTCTGTCAGTTTGAATGGATCCTGTGAAACCTGCACTGCTGCTCCTCCTCAGAGAAGGAAGCTCAACCTCCACTGAGAGAGGAAAGCCCTGTCAAATGGCCAGAAAAGGCAAAAAAAAACCCACCAAAAAAAAACCCAAAAAAATCATGTAATGCATGATAAAGATGGGAAAAAGATTATGGCCAAAATGGACTGTTGGTACAAAAGCTTTATTTTTACATCTCTTTACCCTGAATGACAAAACTTTAAAAACTTGCAATACCATCAACTACAGATAATAAGACAGTGGTACTACCAAGCTCCAGAACAATTTCTTTATATTAGAGGGAATCAGATTATACACCTATAGCATACCCTTGTTTTTAAAGAATGCTTTTAGTTCAATTTCACTGAACAAGAACCCAGAAAAGACTAAGATATGGCTCCTTAAAAACAAGAGGACAGAGGAAATATTTATTAACTACTAAAAGCAGAAATTCCTTGCAGACACCATTCACATTGTAACAGACAGGCAAAGATGAACATCTTGCATGACAGGCATTGAAGAAAATACAAAAATACCTGATTAATCTGATATTGAAAGCAGCCTAATTTAAGAAAAAAAGTTTCTAATCTGAGCTCTGATTACCTCAGTGATAACTGATTTAAAAGATAAAAATAATCTAGAGTGATATAAGCTAGAAACATCACCAAATTAATATACAGAATTAGCCAGAGAGAAAAGAAATTAACTAATTGCAAGGAGAGTAATTCCCAGGTAATTCCAGTTTGACTTCTGAAGGTTGTTCAAAAATGCTGGGTGCATTATTTTTTTGAAAATAACATTTATTGTGCTAATGCTGGCCCCAGGGTACACACATAAACACAGCTGAATGTAAATCAAATAATCTTCAAGCATAGAATGTAAAGTCATAAGGTGGCTGGTGAGGGACTGCATGGAGTGGCAAATTCTGCCCAGGCCACTGCACTTCCCCCCCAGAGTGGTTAAAGGACTGATGGATTTTAATTATTCCAGGAGTTTACAGGAACTAGGCCAGTATGCTTTAGATCAAAGCAGATTAAGAGTGGACCTCGCATCTATCTAGGCAGTCTGAAAAAAGGAGAGATCAGAGGCTACAGAGTGATTTAGATGTTGAATTCAAGGAACAGAAAGAGGAAGCTTAACTTGGACAAAAGGCTAAAGGAATTTAGAGAAAAATCCTTTATGGGGAGATTACTCTGGAAGTGGAACATCCCAGGAAAGGCAAATAACAGCAGATATTCCTGCAATGATTATCAAAAACAATTACATAACAGCTGTTTTCTCCCTAGATTTAAGTCAAAAGGGGACACAGACCTGGTTTGTCACATTGCTGATGATTCTCTGCCAACATTGGTTTATATGCTAAACTCTCATCAGTCAGGTTAAAGCAATATTTAACATAAATGTCCTTAAAATGAATATGTAATTAAAATGTCCTTAAAATGAAAAGTGCTTTAGACTACCTGCTGCAGTGAATAGTTTAACCTACTTACCCAAACTATTCAAAACTCATTAGAAATTAAAAAACAAACTTCTGAGGGGAAAAAAACAACTGAATCTGCCTTTTGTCAAAAGGCAAGACAAGTTTAAATCTTACAGTTCTTTGGTAGCTCTAACAGAGTCCTCATTTTTCATTATTGTAAAATGTGAGGAGTATTTCAAAAACTATCACAGCAGATAATTCTTAATGGCATTAGCTGTAAATACAACATTACAATCCTCCTCTGTAAACTGAAGTTGGCCTGAGCTTGCTACTTGAAGTGATTGATGAAAGTGATCTCAGAATGAACTGGTATCAAACACCATGCAGTAAAACGTGACATGTGGTGGAATTCTGCAATTAAAACTAACCTGAAACAAAAATTCATGCAAGCTCACCCACCCACCCTGAGAAACAGCACTGGACTTTTATTAGTTTTGAGGTTAAAACAATTTTTCTCTTACTTTGCTTCTTCATCTCTAGCAACGAGCAGAGACATGTGATTAGAGGCTGAGGCTGTTCTCAAGATGTCAACAGCCCTAGAAGGGGGCAGAAAAAGGCCAAATAAATAAACCAGGGTGCTGGCAAGAAGTGAGCAGTGCTAGAAGAGCAGGAAAATGGACAAATTGCTAAGGTAGTTAATAATTTTCATGGTCAGATACAGAGAAAAGAGCTTGGCAGCAGCAAAACTTGAAGTGAGCACCAAAGAACAGAGCAAAAGACAGGCTGTGGTGCATCTGCTGACAGGAATAAACTGGGACTGACCTCTCCTTCCCTTCCCTTCTGCCCCCATCCCTCCTTGGGCCATCCTGCTGCCTTCCTGAGCCTCCTTCAGGATTAACAGCCCACCCCAACAAAAGCAACTGCTCAGGTGTGCCTGGCTCAGAATATCCCCCAGCAATACAAAAGAAAATGCAATTCCTTTGCATTTTCAATCTCCATCTCCTGCACTGAAAGCTGCACTGATCTCTGCAGATCCAGCTACAGAAACCACCTACAGCTCCTTCTTTGTGCCATTACATGATTGCTGCCACCATTCACGTTCATCAGTACTGAACAGCAGATAGTTGTATTAACAGCTTGCACTGCTGTTTTCACACACATGCTGTCATCTGTGTCATTAGAAACCAGCTGATTCTGCTGCTACAGAAGCACATAAAGTCCTTCACTTTTCTACAACAGTTTTAGATCAGATCTATAGGATAAATTACTTGTGAGTTGAACTCCAAGGATCTCAGGGGAGCTGTGCTCTTTCAATCAGTCACTGATAGTGTCCAAAATAATCCATGTGTAACATTCCAAGCTCTAATAAACATTCAGGAATCAGTACAAACATACCTTTCATTTGTTACTCCAACCAGGTTTTCTCCATTGACATCCAGAATTAGGTCCCCAGTGAGCAAACGGCCTTTAAATGAAACCAACAGTGATGGATGAATCAACAGGAAAATGGTGAAGGTATTGTATTAAACCAGGTGTTAACCCAGGACTTACCTTTCAATTTTTTGTGACTTAATGCATTAAACAACTTTATGACCCTTGGCACCTGATCCTAATTAAGGCAGATAATTGAGATAAGACTAGAACCTATAAATCAAAATCTTACTAACAACAGAATAGCCACCAAAAATAACTGTCATTTAGCTATTTGTACTATTTACACATAGCATAAATATTTTGAGACTAGAATTTATATTTTACAATTGTGGAACTAATTTTATTTGACTCTTGCTCTTAACATTATTGTAAGTTACCATGTGTAGATATATTAATGCTTTAGACATCAATAAAGTCAGCTAAAAGATTTTTTAGAACCAATTCTACCTTTAACCTCCTGAAAATCTCAAGTTTAGGAAGTGGATGCAGATTATTTCAAATGATCATTTTGCACAAGACAAGCTGGAATCTCAAAAAAAACCCATACAGAGACCTAGGATGGAAGTCTGTAGCTTAATTATTGCACTCTACTGAGAGTAATTTCTTCTCTCCACACAGACCTTAACCACCAGCACACCAACATTAAAAAATAGTAATAAAATTATCAGAACTAATTAAAAATACTAGGTTTATACAGGAAACCTCACTCTTATACATCAAAAGTGATTCAGCATCACAACATTCACTCAACAGAGCTGCCAATTGCCAGAAAGATTGCCAGTTGCCTTCACCAGCCATATATAGATTTGAACACATTTTCAACACCTGAGTGTATTAAAATCTTTTTCCCTAAAGGTTCCAAGTTTCATTTATCTATCTTAAAGTAAGCTAACACCTCATAGATCCTGACCAAACCATATTATTTTAAATATCCTTACCCACAAAGTAAAATAAAGACTTCTTTTGACACCTTTTTATCCACAGTGTGTTTGTAGCCAAAAAAGTTAAAATCACTTACTGTCTGTAGCAGCCACCCCTCCAGGCAGAATTCTCTTTATGAAAATCCCATAATCTTCTGCTGTTTGTGCCCGATAACCTCCAATAATTTTAACTCCTGAACAACAAACAAAAAGACAAAAGGGAAAAATTGGTTATTCCACCTGTGGTTAGAATTGGCTCTTCTATTGTGCTAAATGCATTTGCAGTCAAATCCATGAAAGCCAAATGAACTTTCCTGATGCCAGGTATGAGCTGCCAAAGGTGTTTTCAGGTTTGATTTACTCAGAGTAACAGAATGTGCAATCTTAGTTACCTAATCCATTCTGGCAATCAGAGAAAGAGATGCGGTGAACAGCTCGATTTATTCCATGAGGGCCCATAATGGTCCTAGGGAACAAAATAAAATCAAATTACAGAAAAGTAGGTAGAGCTGTGTTAACAGAGAAGAAATTACAGTGACTGTTTTCAACTCAAATACAAACCCAAACCAACTTGCTCCACTGACAACTTCATATTGTTTGATTTCTCTGAGCCACCACCTCCCCAGCCAAAAATCACTCTGTTCATCACAAACATCAAATGAAAAGGTACAATAAATATACAGAATTTACTTCCTTTTCCCCCAGAGCACTTCAGGTGAACTGTGAATCCCACTTTGTGTAATAAAGGCATTGTGATTAAATATAAACAAAATTCCACAGGCTGGTCCATCTTAATATTTAGGCAAGAAAAACATACCGTAAAATCAGTTTTCATTAGGTAATGAATATCTGAACAAAAGCATAGCTAAGTCAATGCATAAAATTATTTCCAGAGATATCTAAAATATATTTTTTTATATTTATGGACATAATCTTTTCCCAAATCTACTAGTTTCTTCACTCAAAATTGATTTCTGTCTCTATCATAAAAAAGGTTTCTTTCCAAACTCTTTTGCCTGATCCTCTGTGTACCTTCCCACTCCAAGGGGAAACACCGGGATGGCACTTGGAATTGTCTAAATGCAGAGAAATATTTTGAAGGCAGTTAAAAAAGAATACAAAGTAAAATTAAGAGTTTTGAAACTTAAATTTACAGTTTCATCAGACTCATGACCAGCACACTGCTCTGAGAATGCAGAGTATTAAGAATGGAAATAAATCCAGATTACCCTTTACCAGGTTTTATTTTCATGTAGATGAATTATGGGTAAAAAAAACCCAGTTAGTTGTATTATATCTCCTCTGTCCTTTCACTGCAATATTTTTGAAGAAGACTCAGCAGATCTCTTCTAGAAAAGAGCAGAAGCGCCACTGAGGTTTTTCTGCTTTGACCTACATATTGCTCTCCATTAGATAAGAGTTGTATTTTCTAGAGGGTCCTAGTGAAATGTAAAAACAAGAATTCATTAGCAGGGTGGGAAAGAAGATCAAAGTGGAGGACACAGTGACCCAAATCCTTCCACACAACCTAATCCAGCACACAGCCTGAACTCTGTGCCTGAAACTGGGTACATCTGCAAAAGCCAGAGTACATCATTAAAAGGTGCTGTGCCAGAAGGGAGAGAGAATTCTAGAAGGTTCAAATGCTCTTAAATTCTAGCACTAGCCAAGAGATCCAGCTTCTAAAGAACATCTGCAGCTCTTTTGGTTTTGGAGAAGAAAACTGGATGAGATGAGATTTTTTAAATCAAATTATAAGCACTAGCTCTGAAAAGCAACAATTTCCCAAAATTTGGTATTTCCAAGTATTTGCAAAATTAGCCTTTGCTTTAGAAAGGCTGGCCACAAGAAGAGACCTAATAATTCTAATAACCTTTAGAAACAAAAAGTAAACCTATGCTTCAAGCACTGTATCATTTTCACTGTAGTATTTCTTGAAGTATTTGTTTCACGGGCTAAAAAGAAATAGCAAAACCCAGTGGCTGTGGTGTGTGTGTTTGACAAGACTGCACATGACCATGCCATGACATGTCAGAGCATAAGGCACCCTTTGTAAGGCTAAAAGTGAACCAAACTGCTTTTACTGAATCACAGCCCGAAAGGAAGAACAAACCCCCAAGCCCAGTATTTATTTAAGAATACCCTTTGGACAACCTCCTACTCCACGACAAGAACAGAGTATTTTGCATTACTACCCAGGACTGTCACTGCAATTATTCCACAAATTGGTTTTGAGGCTGAAGGAAAGCATCCCAGTCATGCTTTGTCCTGCTCTGAAATCTTAAACAAGGTATACTGATCTTTAAAATAGGCAATTATTCAATTTTTTTCTCTCTTGCCTTTTGCTGCTACGGCTATTGGTTTTGCTTTACCATCCCCTCTCAGCAGTTTTCATACAACAATTTTTTGGTAAAAATTAAAAAGCAAGAACAGACGTTACTTCAACCTCGCACAAACCGACACAGAGGTTTGACTTTGGCAAAGTCTGAAAAGACCAAATCTCAGAATTTAAGTCTGAAGTTTAGAATTTGCCAGAAATTGTAGAACCTCTTTATATACTACCATATAAAATAATAATGAAATATGATCAAATCTAAGAATAGGACAATCAATAGGAAAGAATCCACATTTTCAGAAGTAACTGGCAATACTTTGCAAAGAGAGATCCTAATGGAACTAAAATGGATTCTGACAAAGAAGACACACAGAACACACAACTAATTGTTATTATTAGTCAGTGGAGAGGAGTAAGATATCTCTGAAACACTGGAATTGTGATGCTGCCACCTACAATGAGAAATAATTGACACTTTGGACAGACAACTTTTACAAGGTACTCAGGTCTGTTTATGCTCTAAAAACTAAATCCCTCCAATACATGCAGTTTAAAGTTACTTTACCACATAAAGGCAAAACCAAAGATTTTCAAATGCCCCTAATTTGTTTAGCATATCACATCTAGTCGGCTTTCAGTGTTAGGGTTTTTTTCCCCATATAACACAGATCTTCAAGTCAAGCTACTTGTCATAGTTCTAATAAAATAAACAGAACTTTAACAATTTCACTATAAAATGACTTGGATTCAGTACCCACCCAATATTCATTTTATGTCATCAATTTCAGTATTTGTGAAATGTTAGAATATTTCTCCCAGACCTTTAGAAACCTGCTCAACAGTATAAATAAAGAAATATGCTTTTAAACAAGTTAGCAGTAGTAACAAAAAATTATTCGATGTTTTTTGCAGAAAAAGATGCAAATGAAATAATCACTTGTCAATACTCATTTTTTGAGGTCAGGCAAAAGCACCTGTAAGGAAGGTTTTAGCACATAGAGAAGATGTGAGGCAAGAGATGAAATAAACAAGTAAAACTCACAAAAATCTACACTATAACCTTCTTACACTAAAAAATACTAAACTCAACACTCCAGCTGAAGTCCTGGAATGCTAACAGACTAAGTGTGCAACATTTTGTCCAGATGCTCCAGTAAAGGCAATTAAAATCAACCTGCTTCTATTACTTTTTAGCAGCATACACAAAGAAGTTCAACAACTTTGGGTTTTATTTCTTTTAGTACTTAACAGAACACAAAGCTCCAGATATTCATCTGATCTCCATTCCTGAGAAATTATTAGTCATTTATGTGCACAAACAAAACATTTACCTATGTTTATCAATGGGAGAAAAATACACTTTACTCACAAAACACATATCACTTGACACACAAAAATCTAAATTATAAACTCTGGCTGTTGATGAAAAGAAGCTGAAAATTATCAGCTTTTCAATGATCTTTCCTGTACTTTGCCCAATTACAGACCACAGCAATGCCCTCAGAACTGAATGGCTCAGCATACCAGTATAAGAGAGAGAGACCATCAAAACGCTCTGGTTCATCTTCAGCTCCTGGAGAAAGCAAGGACATCCTTCAGCACAGCAGGAAAAACAAGGACAACGCAACCAAACCGCACTGGAGGTTTCCAGCTCAGCCGGATAAAGGTTATGAGCAGGATGATTTCTGCTAACAACTAAAAAACCCAAACACAGAGCTCCAGCTGAGCGTTCTGCCTACTTAATCTTCTCTGAAAGCCTCTGCGTCACATGCGCTAATTCACCTAGAGAGGTAATGCTGACTTTTTCTCCCTTTGAAACGGCCATTTAGAGCAACTTTAAAGATTGATAAATGCAACGGACAAAATTTACTACGCTGTGATTAAGCAATCTAGATCCAGCAGCCAAAGGCAAACGCGATGATTAAAAGCAACTTATTTCCTCCTGGTCTTCTAAAATGTATTTACATACACCCTGCAAACAAGGTCAAAAGCAGTAACTCATGACCTTTCTAAAGCAATCTTCCTAACAGACTGCATTATGCACAGCCACACAAAAGGGAAAGCCAACAAAGCAGACTGGGAGTATTAATGAAAGAAATGCCATTATGCTATTACTTTTCATTCTCAATCACGGTACTGGCTTGTGCCATGATCTAACTTGATTTTTAGACTTCCAAGATACAGCAGTCAAAAGTCAACACAGAACTTGGGTTATTTATTTTCTCTAAAAATACAAGCTACTTGTACTTGTATATGTACAAGTATATATGTATATATGTACTTTTCTGTGAAAGGAAATAAAACTGCCAAATTTATGTCATTACACTGCGAATAATGTAGTTTAAGAAGTCAAATGTATCACCCTTGTTCCCAGAGGTCAGATCCTGTGACAGGAGACTTGGTCTTGCAGAGAAATGCACATTTTCAGAAATTCTGATCATTGCCACCAGTTTGGTTAATGAATGTTTCCTTCCAGGCTTGCCACAGAAGTAGCCCTACTACTCCCCCTCTCTCAAAAGATCCTAACAAGACTGCAGCTTGAAATGCAAGCCTACTGCCCTGTGCTCACTGAGGGCTTTAAGTAGAAAGGTGAATCCTCTCTAGCCAGGAGCAGCCCTGTGATCAGACAGCATCTGTCAGGCCTGGAGGTGCAGCAGGAAGGCTGGCTATGCCAGGAATGCAAAAGCTTATCTCAGGCAGCTTTTTTTTTTTTTTTTTTTAAAGCTGCAGTGACTGTGGTTTCATTAGCAGATAATCCTTCTGGGGAAAGGATCCCTTTGCTGAGAGCCAACTTGCTGAACAGCGTTCACAGAGAGCGGTCAGTCCTGAGAGCCTGCAATGCACACACAGAAGGAGCAGAGCGACCCACCACAGATTAAGGAGCAGATCAGAGATGGAAATGGGAACATAAAGCAGCCTTCCCAGTTCCCAAATAGTGAAAAGCCCCTCTGGCACCGTGACCACATCCTTTCTGAGACGAAAATTTGCCCCTTTGCAGCATTTCCTCAGTCAGCTTACTCTGCTGCTGTTACCAGCATTACAGAAAATCCATTGATATTTTAAGCCTCATATCAATTAGATTTGCTCCAGGCAAGGTTACAGAAGATAAAGTACCAATAGATTTTCTCCAACAAAACGACCTCTGTATTTAACACCAGTGGAATTCAATTTGTGGTATCAATATCAGGAGCATTTGTCAAAATACATCACTCAGATCAACCAGTGTCACATTTTCTGCCATAGAAATCCCCCAATTAATGCATGGCTCAAGGCTCTCCAATTTCCAATTTCCTTGAAAAAAAGCAAAAAGTTATTTTTATTAAACCAGACATAAACTTCTGCACAGTTTAAGCAGATATAAAGTAGTATTAGCCTTATTGCTCTGATTTTATTAGCTATTACCAGTAATACATGACTTGTTCAGAAGACTGCTCCTCCACCCCTTCTTCAAAGTAAACTGTGCTTTGTTCAGCTTCCTGAACTCATCTCCAAGGCTTCTATCCCTCCTTACCTTCAAATTCTGTTGCTGTGCTGCTTTTAATGAATGCCAGCATTATTGCCTCTCTTGCAAGTGCTCTGCCTTTCAAGAACACGCTCAGAAGAACACAAATTACTTTTTATGTCCAGAAAGATCAAGAAAAATTGTAATTCAAAACTCCATGAAATTTAGTATAAATAAGTAAGACTAAATTTTCAAGAGCTCTCATTTGTTGTTAAGTAAGATTCATTTCCAAACAGCTGGAAAACTATTCCATTCCAGCCACATTCATAATTACAGCTTGCCTCTCTCAAGGGAAGTTTTGCAATGCTTTAGCAACTGAGCTGGATTACATGATACTTTAGCAGATGACAAAAAGATTTCCAGAATCTTTGGAAGTTCGATTCATAAGATCTTTTTTGTTGTAAATAACCCAAAAGCCTTTTACAAAAATCCTGTACAGATCCATTATGCAACTGTAGCTTCCCTAACCCCAAGTTCAGATTTTAAGGACCATAGGCAAAGGAATGCTGTATCACACACCATGGATGAGCACCCAGTGTGATCCATCCAAACCCACTCATTATTCAAAATACATTCTGCTGATTAGGCTATAAAGGTTAAAAGAAATCATAGGTCATTATATGGCAACTGTTAGGCCTAAAAAAAAGCTTGGGCAACATTGTAATTGTGGAGGAGCATGAATGGTTTGAAGCTAACCCCCTGCACAGAGAAGAAAGGTATGATTTAAAGTCCAGGTAAACCTCAGTTAACATATAACCAAGTCCATTCTTGGAAGCATCATCTTCTACAAGAAATAAAAGTAGAGAAAATGACAGCCTGCCATCAGCATGCAGCCGAAGTGCAGTTTTAGGTGCCTTTCCTGTTCATCTCTAATGTGAAAAACCACCTTTGGAATACAGAGACCTAGGAACTACTCGTGTAAACTACTCATCTTTCACATGACTCTAGCAAGCCACAGCTGTCTGGAAGATGTATCTTTGTGATCACATACCCTGAATTTCCATCAGACAAGCAGAGTTTTGGCTTCTTCAGGTCCCAGTAAAAAGCAGGTCAGCTTTTTGAATGTTTTGTGGTTTTTCTTTTCTAACCAATCAAGTTGTTTATGAGGTGGCATAACTCTAAATCTATGTTAATTTTTTTTTATTCTTCTGAATACTCTTTGCTGGATTCTATTGCAGAAGTACAACAAACATGGTAAGTCCAGCAAGAGCTGCCTGTGCCTGGTTTTAATTCTGGTTTTGATGAGAGCATTGGTGTGGTTATTTGGCAGTTTGGAAAGGGTCTGGAGTTACACTTTTCAGTCATGACTGAATCCATATTTGACATTTAGAATCTGATCCAACTTCTAAGTGGATAAGATTACGTTTTATAGAATGAACATAATTTTTTTATATCCTGTGACACTGGTAAAAAATACAATGTTTCCTAAGTACTATACTACATATAAAATATTAAAGGTATAGAAACAGTATTCTGAAAAATTAATGCACTGTAATACAAAACCTCCAGTCTTATGCTACTGCAGGTACCCCAGATGTACAAAGAAGTGACCTACTATATACAAGTATGTTTTCACAGTTCAGAAGCATTAAATTAAGAAATCTCTATGCAGGGTTTTATCTCTACAAAACAAGTCCTAACCAAGTGCCAATTAAAATAATGAAAAGCTTAAGGGACAATTCCTTCCTTAAAGTGCAAATTCACTGATGTTGGTGTCAGCTTTCCTACGGTGTTACTGCAGATTGCTTCAATATCAAAGTTATTTTTTCTTTAAGTCTCCATCAAGATAAGATCCTACCAATGAAGCTGCAAAAATTTTAATATTACAATCCATTAATTGTATTTCTGCATCTAGGGAAAAAAAGTACTTACCCCTTCTCTGTATTTGTGAGGGGATCTGCACTGGACATCTTCTTAGAAGCACTATTAAAATAAAAGTTCAAAATTAAGAGCTCTGACATATGAACAGGCTCCTACAGGATCAAAATCTTCTAAAATAGGAAAAAAACCAGATTACAATTCTAGGATGATACAACATAACTGCTGAAGGCAAAGACAATCTCTTTTTTTCCCATGTAAAGTTACTTGGAAAGGGAGTGGTGTTTTGTGTGTCTTGTTTTCTCATGTTTTTTTTAACTTACACTCTGGTATTTAGTGTCTCTGAACTTCTCACATGAAGGCTTACACACCACTAATGTAGCAATTTCTGTAGCCCCAGAAATTCACATTGTGTTTTTATTAGTACATACTAATTGACAGGAAATACAACCATGGATGTACTGAACTACAGTCATTTCAAAAAATGCTAAAAAAGCATTAATGCAAAAATATCTGTTTGTATCAGCAGTAGGAAATCTTCCTGACCTTGTGAGGTGCATGGCTGAACCCTCACATGCCACAATCCAGAACAGGAATTATTTCCAAAGCAAGTGGGGCAAGGAACTCTCCCAACATACAGGAAGGGCAGCACAGGTGCCCCTGGCACCAATGTCACACCACAGACCCTGGCCAGGATACAGCAGAATCCCCAGGTGCAGTGTCAGCCTCCACAAAACCCCTCCAATTCCTGCGTGTCTGTACTTATTGTGTGAAAAAGATGTTAAATCCGCGTTGGAATGCCACAAATGCTCCTGCAGTAAACACTTTCAGGTTTTGATCACTAAAGAACCAAAAAAACAGTCATCTGAAGACAGGGGAAAAAACACAGTATGGCTACACCGAGCCTTTACCATTCTCTTATTCAGCGTGGAAAATGAAGAAGTATCAGGAGCTGCCAGTCCATGTGTGATTCACCTTACTGGAACCACCACGGAAGAGAGACACAGCTCTAAAGCAGTAAATTCAAGTATTGCTACAGCAAATTTTATTACAGTGCATGGCACCAGCCGTGTGAAAAACTATTGTTTGTGAACTTGGCCGACTTTGCCCGTCCTCAGGTTACCGCTGTTTACTAACAGCGCTCGCTACCTCTGCAGCGTGTCAGTGCCTCTGCCTGAATTTGTTCATGAAATGAACAAATGAAACTAACGAGAAGTAAAGCACCGCAGGAAAAAGGAACAAACAAACAACCGGTGTCAAGCGTCTACAACAGGGGAGAAACTGCAGGCCCCGGACGGACCACCCGGAGCAGCCCCGCACCCAGCGCCCGTCCTGGGGCCGCCAGCGCGGAATAACCTGAGAGACAAGCAGGAATCTGCGGGACCCGGGGCACGCCTCCGGTACCAGATACCTCCGGTGCGGTGTACCTGCGGGACCACCGCGCTCCCGGTGACCCCGCTCCTGGCCGGCCTTTCGGTGCCGCTCCCGTCCAGCACAGCCCACTCGGCGCGGGTAACCGGAGCCGTGGAACCCCGCCGGCCTGTGGGCTGCTCCAGTTACCTCGTACACAACCTGCGCCCGGGCCGTCCCGCTGGCGAGCGAGGCGGGGGCAGCCGCGGGGGCAGCCACGGGCGGCTCCGCCGGGACCCCCTCGGTCAGCGCGCTCTGAGCGGGCACACAGGGTAATGATGCGATGGCGAGTCGACTGGGCTCGGCCCGCCCCCGTCTCTGCTTTCCCTCCTTCTCTCCCGCCCTGTTCCCGCCTCCGTCCCGCCCCGTTCCTGTCCCGTTCCCCGCCCCGTTCCCGGCCGCCCGTCCCGAGAGCCCCCGCGCTGCGGTCATGGCGCTGTGCGGGCGGGGCTGGGCGCGCTGTGCCCGCGGGCTGCGGCTCGGGGCCTTGCCGCGGCCCGGGCTCTGCGGGACCCGCGGCGTGCGGGGCTCCAACCCCTTCACCCGGCAGCAGGAGGAGGAGTGGCGGCGCCGGAACCGCTCGACCGTGGGCTACATCGCGGCGGCGGCCGTGGGCATGGTGGGGCTGTCGTACGCGGCCGTGCCGCTCTACCGCCTCTACTGCCAGGTACGGGGGGCCCGCGGCCGGCGCCGGTTCCGCGGGCGCGGGGCCCTCACTGCCCTTCCCTGACAGGCCACGGGGCTCGGCGGGACGGCGGGCACGGGGGGCGACCCGGAGCGGATCGAGCGCATGGAGCCCGTGCGGGACCGGCTCATCAGGGTCACGTTCAACGCCGACACGCACGCCAGCATCCAGTGGAACTTCAAACCGCAGCAGAGCGAGATCTACGTGAGTCACCGCCTTCCCCCCGTTCCCGAGCCCTGGTCACGGTCCGACCTTTCCGATCACTCGGTCCGACCGTGCAGCCGGCATTGTAAACATTAAACCACAGCACCCACACCAGGCCCAGCGCCATGGGGACTCCACCGCCTCCCTGGGCAGCCCTTCCCAAAGCCTGGCCACACCAACAGTGGAAAATGTTTCTGATATTTAATGGGAATCTCGCTGTCTTGCCAAGGCCGTTTCCTCTGGTGCTCTCAGTGCAGGCACGGCAGAAGGGCCGATCCCCACACCACTACACGCTCCTGTCAGTAGTTGCAGAGAGCAGTGATGTTCCACTTGAGCCTCCTCTTATTGAGACCGAACAACCCCAGACATGTTCTCATTTGTTACCCTTTGCTGGACATGCTCCAGCATGGCAGTGTCCTTCTTAAAGGACATTGTGTGTAGCTGGCCCTCTGCCACCCCATTAAACTATCAAAAGTTATTGAAACTATATTTATATATACACCTCATGGTATATACACCACATGCACGTTGTACATACACCATAAAAGTGTGTATATATACTTAAAAATATACAGTATAACAGTATATACAGTGTAACAGTGTATTTAAATCTGTATAATTTCTCCTATTGCCCTATCCTTATAGGTACTTTTTTAATATTTTAAAAAAACCAGAAATTAACTCTTCTGTTTCAAATTCGTTCTCAAAATAAGGAGTTATGCTTCTTAATAGTTTGAGTCCAGTACTGAAAGAATAATCTCAGAAATTAAATGCACACCATATCTAAATCTGCATATTAAAAATGCTCTATGTGCTGTTGAACTGTTGAGGATAATAGAAGACTCAGGCAAAATGGGTAAGATTAAAAATACATAGAACAGTATTGAAGCTTTTAATTTTGAATATGGGTGAACTGCATGTAATCAAAACTATTTGTGAAATAACCAATTTGAAACAGCAATAGAGAAAATTAATTCTAGATAAAGTCTAAAGAACTTGGTTTGAGGGGTGGAGGGCTGCAGTGATTAAAAAAAAAAAAAAGAAAATCACTGTACAATTATGTTACACAGGTGGTACCAGGAGAGACTGCACTGGCATTTTATAAAGCAAAAAATCCTACTGACAAACCAATAATTGGAATTTCCACCTACAACGTTGTCCCCTTTGAAGCAGGACAGTATTTCAATAAAATACAAGTAAGTATGAACAAAGCAAAGATTGCATTTTCCTTTACACAAAAGAAAACAGTTTATAATTGCATTTAATAATTTAATTAATCCAATAAATTGCATTTTAACCCTGGACAACATTCTTCGTGTGCCAACATTCTAAGAAAATACCTTGTTTTTTCAAATGGTGAAGTGCATCAATTCATTCTTAGCTTTACTGCCCTTACATCAAGCTGCTCATCCCATCAGAGTGGCTCCAAAATCTGTTATGTAGTACCACTCGGAGGGCAGGCAGAATGATGTGAGCTGGCCCCTTGATGCCTTTACACACTGGATTAAAAGCTAATATATTTTTTCTATATCATCACAGTAACAAAATTACTGTCTTATTGCTCATCTTATTGATCCTTCCCAGGATTTTAGGGGTGTAAAGGGAATGAGAGTTTGTTTTAAACCGTTAAGATTTCTTTCAGGTTGACAGAGATAAAATTTATCATCACTGTTGTCTAATTGTGGATTTTTTTTTCCTCCCACCTGCAGTGTTTTTGTTTTGAAGAACAGAGGCTAAATCCTCAGGAGGAAGTGGACATGCCTGTCTTTTTCTACATTGACCCAGAGTTTGCAGAGGACCCTAAAATGGCTAAAGTTGATTTGATCACTCTCTCTTACACCTTCTTTGAAGCAAAGGAAGGACAGAAGTTGCCACTTCCTGGCTATCAGTAACAGGCCTTCTCTACAAAATCTGACTTCTGCTACATCTGAGTGCCAGTTTTGATGCAGTTTTTCCTTGGAAGAAAAAAACTGCAGGAGTACTGTGCAGTATGAAATTATACGATTAAACCTCCATGGGCACATGCTGTTATGAAAGTATATGTATATATATATATTTTTTTTTGGAAACCAACTTAATGTATCCCTATTACTTAGGGATAGTATTTCTTCATCAGACAGTGGAAGGGAACACACTGTTCCTGGAGTAGAGAGGGTTTTTCTCAGGCCATCTTTTTGTAAGATGTTACCTGAATACCACAAGGCAAATTCTTAAATCAATGTGTAAATTAAGATCTTCTTTTAAATGCAGAAGAAAAAATCAGTTGATAACTATCTAAAATTCCATTGCTGGCTCTGGAAAATAACTTGCATGTTATTTTAGTTACTTTAGAAGAAGGTAAACGCAGATAATAAATTGAGGTAATCTCATAACTAAATAAAGTTAGACTGCTATTTCTGTGTGAGCCTCCCTGGCACAGGAGGAGAAGATGGTTCAGAAGGTGATGCACCCTCTCATGTTATTACTGAATCAGTAGTTCACTTGGTAAGAGCAGACTGCTCTAAAGCTGTTATCATGAGAACAGTAATTTAAGTGTAAGCACATCAGATCTCTGGGATGGCTTCCATCTGGAAACACCATCTTATTTCTGTGTTGTGTCCCACTCATTTGAAGTATGTGTGGGGCTGTTGAGTGCACTTTGCCTCTGCAGAGGGCTCTGCACTGGGCACCTCCACAAGAGACAAGCTTGGCTTGTGTCTGACATGCTTTGAGGGTAGGGCAGGTATTACTGCTCTGAATTGCAGCTGAATGAACAGCATAGGAGTCTCCTCAAAAACCAAGACCAGCCCATTGAGAAGCTGAGGTGGCCTGAGCCTGCCCAGCAGTACAGCAGCTCTCCAGGGGGACTCTTTTACCACCAGAACACGTAAGTGGTGTTTATGTAACTTTTGGGCATTATCTGTGCAGTAGGTCTAATAACACTTCATCACTGCCTTGCAAACCAGGAGCAAGTTCAAGTAGCCTGCTCATTTTCAGACAGAAATTATTATCAGGGCCATGTCTTTCTACACCTTCCAGCAGAGAAGATCTACTAAAATAAGGGTGATGTTGGTTAGCATGGACTCTGAAAACGCAATGGTAACTTCCAGTTACTTAAGTCTCAATTATATTTGCATACAGTAACTCAAAAACTGCTTTTTTGAAAATAAATGCATGCTATCTTTAAAATCCATTATTGTACCAATTACTTGTGTTGGTTAAATAGATTGTGGATGACATACAGGGCTTCACTGTTTATTAATGAAAACTTTTCATTCTTTCATCTCTCTCATGCATTTTATTCAGCAGAACATATGAAGCCCACACAAGTGAAATACATCTGTATGAAGATGGCAGCAAGCTTTATAAATCCAATATGCTTCAGGGAAAAAAAAGTAACATCAGGACAAATCTCTGAATCCAGGCTAGGGGGAAAAAACCCCAACTTCTTACCTCAGTTTTCTTTAGTCCATTGTCCTTCTGAAAGCTGAACTGATTATGGCAGTTCTCCACCCATTGCTTTATTCTGGCCACTTTCTTTAGAAGAAAAGGAGTATGCTCCTGGCAAGTGGCAGTTCCATAAAGATGTGGGTTCTCTGCCCGAGTTTGAAAGCCCAAATTTGCACAAATACTGAGCACATTCCCCCTGTAACACCAGCTCTAACCTTGGTCACTAGCCAGTTCCCTTCCATCTCTGTGACCATTTGTGGGATTCACATTCTCTGAGAGAAGCAGAGAAGAGTGATCAAAACAATTCTTGTCTCATTTGTTGCTCCTGTTGTTTTGTGAACATGTGGAATGTGCTGGAAGATTATTTACCTGAAGGAATTTGGAAATTGGATTCTGGTATGTTTTGTTTTTTCTTGACCAATCTCTGCAAGTTGACGCTCAGTCAGGAGACAGTCACGAGATTTTGTGCAGTTCTTGTTCAGTTTCAGTTTAGATGTAGTGTAAAACAGTATAGAATAATGTAGTATAATAAAGTAATTAATTAGCCTTCTGCTATCATGGAGTCAGATGCATCCTTCCCAGATGTTGGGGTCACCCTGCTAATCCCATAACCATTGTGCTGCTGCAAACACGGAGAGTTCCGTCAGCAGCCGCCCATTGTGGATTACACTGCAACAGCCCAGTTCGATTTGTTACCCTTCACTGTGGGAATTCTGCCAATACAACCCAGCTATAGGGGAAAAATTAAATCAATCCACCTCCAATCCTATTTTCAGCTGTTTTCTCAGGCTGCTGTCCAGACCACTACAAATGAGCAAGAAAAATGAGAGTAAAGCAACTCACCTTTTCACCTCAACTTAAAAAACTCCCAGACTCCTTCAAGGTTGTGTTTTGGATAGAAGGGTGTTGTTCTAATGGTCCTGCAGCAAACTGCACAGTTTCACACTAAAATACTTTCAATGCTACCTACATTTATATTTCAGGGAATACACAGAGAAAAACTTGGAAGCAATAAGAGTTTATTTCTCAGTAAGCATTTGCTTTTATTTGGAATTTTATGCTATAAAAATTGCAAAAGCAGCTGAGAACTTCTTATCCTTAAAAGTTAACATAAGGAATGTTTAAAATGCAGTTATTTCACAAAAAATTAGCTTATCTGGTAAGAATATGAACTAAGTTCTCAAATTTTGTATCAGCTATAAATTCAGAGAACTATACCTGTTAAAGTGCACAGTTTACATTCAGCATTAAAATAGATAAGGCACTTACTAAAAGATAAAACAGTTATTAACAGGATTAAACAACTTAATTAAAGTAAATGGGTAACTATTGCTCATCTGCATTGTAGATGATTAATTTTTCCTTCACCAGAAGAATCTCTGCAGGGCAGGAATATTGAAAGAAACAACTGATCCCCCTCCAATATTTACTGAGTAAAGAAAAGTAACAACAACAACACAGGAACAATAAGGTTTTTTTCCTGTTGATTATTGATGATAGCACTTTGTGTCCCAGCTTAGGTTCTTCCTAAGACAAAAATCCAACTATACTGTGGGTTTTTAGGAAGAAAATAAAGGAAAATTTGAATTAAGGATGTAAGCAAGTAACACTGCACATCTTCAGACATCTATTAAGAGGCCAATTTTAGGGAAAAAAATTTATATCTCAAAACACCCTCATAGATTTCTAGGGAGATGAACGTAGCAGTGAGGCCAAAAGAGAAAGTGGATTCTGCAGTTTCTGTGAATATAATGTGTCTTTTTTTCACTCGTGCCAGGTGTCAAGTCTTACTTCATACACAGGTGAATTTGCAAGTCACATTTTACAGGCACCCAAAATACTTTAAAATAACCACGCAGGTGACCTTGAAGAGCAGACAGCTGAACATTCAGGACAAATTGTCAAGGTGAGGAGCCAAGTAACTCTTCAATTTGCACACAGCTTTGTACTCCAACACTAATTACTGTGTCAAAATGCAAAACCTCTTCTGTTATTCACTTGTAGTTACAGGAAGCACTGCACAGGACCAGCACTAGAGAGTGTTCAGGAAAGGATTCCACCTCCACTTTCAGTCCGTGTTCTTTTTAACTTCTGTCTTCAGCACAACATCAATTTCTTCATAAATAGCTCTGAAAGAGGAGGAGAAGGATGACTCCTACATCACATTTCATTTTGACAAATGGCACCAGGGAAATCCTGCCCAAAGTTTACAGTGTAGCTTCCCTTGCAGGATGCCCAGGTCTCCATGGAAACAAAGAGCCATCCCTGCTCTGATTATCTGATTGTACATTTAATGAGGAACCTCTGGATACTATCACTTTTGTTCAAACAAGTTTGGGAACAGAACTGCAGAACACAAAAGGCAAATGCACCACTGTGCAATTACTGCACTAATTAAAAAAAACAATGGAAGCTTTGTTGAGATTTCCCTATCTCAAAATACAGTGGCTCCTCAGAAATAAGTTTTGTACAGATAGCTCAGTTTTTTTTTTTTTTTTTTTTTTTTTTGCAATTTACTGTTAGAAAGGGGAGTTCTGCCATCTGTTGGGTTTTGTATTAGTTTGCTGTCTCACTATTTTGGTTTTCTGGAGAGACACAGCATCCATTCCCTTTTGTAGTTTATATTTAAATTAAGGATTTTTTTCATATGCAGTAGAAAAACACTCTTTAAAAAAAACAATTGCTATGAACAGGAATTGTTCCCGTTCATATTGTTACCTTGTTCCAGAACTACCTGTGCTGAAGTTCAATCAGCTACCTCCAGCAGGACCCTGACTATATTTCCTTCACCTTTCTATATAACTGGATAAGATTTTAGTAATTTTGATAGAGCATTTCTCTTCCATTTTTACAGATGCCAGTTAGTGAACACACTATAGTTTATTCCTTAATTGGTTGTGCCAGAAATATTTGAAGAAATCATACAAAATGCAGCCACTGCCATTTACATCAATGATGCAGCTGGTCAGTCAACTCAGCCTAAGTAGAGTGGTCTGGTTTTCCTCTCAGAAGAAAAAGACATTTTGCCTTTGGTAACACAGAATTTTAAAATTCTATTTTAAATGTTACTTACTCAGTGGGAGCCAAGGGATCAAATTCCATTATTTCATAGTAATGAGGCGACTGTGACTTGTTCTTTGATGTAGCTGTAGAATAAAGAGACACAGACACACCCAGATTCAAATGAGAATGAAAAGCAGGATTACTGCATGTTTTTTGTGTCTTCCCAAAAGCAGCACATTATCTGCTACAGATTCAGCTGCTTTACATGCTGAAATGGACAGATGTGTAATGGACTCCATGAGCAATATGACTTTGTCAATGCCTGTTGCTGTTCCTAGTCACTGACAGCCATTATGTAAAGGCTTTAAGTTCTAACAAGACAAGGAAGCATGAAAGGAAGCATGATTTGCAGTATTTATTACCTGCTGGTGATGGTCCATTTGATGGCACAGTCTGTCCAGCCTGCAGACTTACTGGGTTCAGAGGCACTGGGCTTAAAAGAGTCGTCAACTGAGGACATCAAGCAAAACAATGCATAAACAGATTGTTCCATGGACTGGTTTGACCTAACTTATATAATTGCGGGCTTATCTTTAAACTCTCTGACTACTGCAGGTAAAATTCCAAGGCCAACAGTTAGCAACCCAATTAATCTTCATTCTCCACACAACCTTCAAAGCAACACCTAGTCTTCTATAGCACATGTGTATAATTTACTTCTGTGTGACTTGTTCCACCACACAGATTCAAACATCTGCTTTTATTTGCAGTTTAAAATAAGGACTATGCATGTTTGTTTGGGAGCTGCTTCTAATCTTTTCTATTTCATACTACCTTCATAACATTATCTCAAAGTCCCTTCAGGCTCTTTCCACTCCTTCTGTCATGGGTGTTTCTCTGCAGCATGACATTCGTCCTGCACTGTACTTGGGGTTTAAGTGACTTTTTCGTGGGCTGTGTTTTTGTGGGGGCTTTGCAGGTTTTGGGGTTTTTTTGTATGTTTGTTTTTAATATCTTATTTGTGATAGAAAGTACACCACAGTAACATCATGGCAACAGGAGGAGAGCTCAGCTTGCTTTGCATAGCAACAAATTAAATAATAGAGCAAGAGCTTTCTGCAAATTCCCCTGGGATTGTGCTGGACCCAAGGAAACAGGCTTCCACATTAGGATCTGTGGCAGCAAAAGAGGAAAGTTGACCTGTTTACCAAGTAGAATATTCCCTGAGGTATGGCGAAGGGCCACAAAAGAGATCTTTGCAGTTGGGGTAAATCCAGAAGTTCTCATTTGACAGCTGCCAGACAAGAATGATCATCCCAAACATGAGTATTACTCACATTGCTATAGATGTTCACATTGCTGTATGTGTGTCCAGCTGGGCTGCTTAAACTATTGTTTTGTGCTTCAGCTGCAAATCTAGGAGAGAGCAATACATTGAATATAAGTAAGAAACTATCAAAACTGTTTATTCTGATTGTTCCAACATTTTTTTGGCTGGTCAGCCTTTCTTGTGTGTTACAACTGAGAGCAGCATGGGCAGATGGACCAGTGGCCCATGCACATGAATTATAAGGACACATCCCCTGTCTTGAACCCTTTTCCTGACCTTTTTCATGTTTCTCCCTTTCCCTGCCAAAAGTCAGCTACATTTATGTCTGTCCATGACAAAACAGTGATGCAGGCATAAGTGTATTTTGAATCCTCTGAAACAATGTTGAGCACAGAGGGAATTTTCACTTGTTTTACTTGACTAATATGTAAAAGTAGTTAAGTCTGTGTCCTCAGAGATTCTTATATTCATTAGATGAATTATAGAGCACTAATACCCCTAAGGATCTGCAATCCATTCCTTGATAAGAGACTACTCACAGGGACTGATGAGCTTTTGTAGGAGTTGCTGAATCCAGCTGTGGGTAAATTGATGGATGAGACCTGGTTTTATCTTCAGGGTGTGCAGATAGGCCATCTGAAATTCAAAGTGATAATTAATGGTAATTTAAACATTATTATGCAAAAGTAGCTAGTTGTACTTTGAACACTAAAAGAGTAAAGTTTTTCTTTGGAAGGCCTACACAGCTCTGAAATGGATTGCTGTTTACCACATGAAAGGCAAAGTTTTAATGACTCTGAAAATTCTTAGATCCAAGGATTTTATCTTTGTATTTAGAGCATCAGCAGAGCTCTACATGACAGATACCACTTAAAACTCTTGCTGGTATTTGTAAAGGATTAAAATTGAAATCTAGGGAGTATTCCCAGGGGGGACATTCACACCTTTAACTTTAGCATATGGACTTCCCTAAAGCAGGTAAAGGAGGGGCTACTGCAAATAGTAATTCAGGGTACTTGAAGCCAAGTCCTTCTAACACTCCTGAAAAAACTCCTGTTTCTTCCTGCCAAGTCTACAGAACAAGCAGCTACCAGAGTGTTTTACAGGCTCACTGCAGTAGAAAACAGAGCATATTCTATTGCTCAAATCTATGTAAAAGGGGAGAAAGATTACTATAAAAAAATTACAGGAAACCTTACAATATCTTGCAATTTTGCTCCTATGGACACATTTCAATTCTCCTTTTAAGAAAATGTAAAGAACATCCTTAAAGTTAAGGAGTATAATTTTTTTTTTCTTTCTTACAAGGAACTTCTTGATTCCTCCACTAAGCTCTGGTGGGTTTTAGGGAACCAGGGTGGAAGGGAACTTCCTTCACCACTTACTTGCTGAAGGAGACACTGCAGGGTCCCTTTGCAGCACTGCAGACCCAGAAGATGGAGAATCTATGGAGAGGCCAAGTAGATCACTTGAGGGAGCAGATGGCTGTTTCCTGTGCAGCTTAACATTTGAAAAAGAATAAGTTATGTGGGGTTTTTCCTGGTGTTTTGTTTTTTTAAGGAATTTGCATTGTTTTTTCAAACTTGCATAGTTTTAAGCAAATCGCTGTTTTCACAAAACATTAACTTTTAAAATCGTAATATTAAAAATTGTTAAGTATAAGAGAAGATCAGGACTCTGTGTGTGTGAAATTCAACCCATGAAATAAAATACTCATTTCAGAAAAGATCAATTTCAAAAAGTAAAGAAAACCAGTTCTGAAGTAGAAAATAGAAAGTATTCAATTCTATAAAGCCATTCTGAACGTTTAGATACAGGTTTGATATTGATTTTCTGATCAATCCTGTACAATTCTTTTCATGCTACTTACTTGTGTTAATGAGATTTGATATGTACTTAGGAGATTGATTTTTTCCAGTCCCTTTTTGGATAGAAAACAAAAATCAAAACTACAATAATGTTTCCTAGGACACAGAAAAGAGCTCCCTTCCTTTCTCCTGTGAATGTGTTGGAATTTAAAACATAGCCAGCCACAGGTTTAATAAAACCACATGCTTGAATCATACAGGTTTGGTAACACCAGATGAAAAATAAATGAATAAAAGATGATGCATTTTAAACTCAGAGTCTGCTTAATAATATAAAAATGCACAGACTGCACCATTTGGACCCAACAGTGGATCCATCAAGCAAAACCACCCACCTACATAATCAGAATGTAGTAATAGTGGCTTTTCAAGGAAAACAAGATCATCTTCTACCTTTTTTTAATAATTGTCAGCAGTATTTCAGCATTCAAAATGCATTTTCACATTGAGTCCCAGATGACTGCAAAATTATGGCTTAGAAGAAGGCAAAACATGTGCAAAACTACTTCGGGCAATATAATTAACAACCGTAATTATCAATCAATAAAGGACAGTCATTAAAGATTTGCTACAAGCCATTATTCACAATTCAGAAAAAGCTTTGACTCAGGAAAAAAAATCAATAGAAGAAGTGAATTCTCAAAGTGCAGCAGTATTTCAGTCTCTGGATCATTAACAGGAAACAAATGAAAAGAACCTATGGTTTCTCATTTTTTGCATGGCAGATAATTGTGCTTAGCTGGAGAGGCAATAAATCAGCATTTGAATAAATTTCTCTCTCATTTTTCATGCCCAAGCTTCCCTCATGCATTTGACATTATTTTCTACTTTAGTTACATGAATTTGCATGAAATTCTGCAACTGAGACTTTGGAAAAATCAGTAAGAGTAGTGTCACTTTGCTGTCTCCTGGTACCTCTCAACCAGAGAATAAAATTCTGCATGTATCAGAAGTGTATTTTTCTCAAGGCAGAGTAAAAGGAATGTTCACAATCCTGCAGCTCAGGAGCTCATCCTTAATTACCTCCTCCCGCTCCCGCTGTATCCTCTGGTTCTCCAGGAAGCGAACTCTGTTCCGTGAGAACCTGTGGAAGAGTTAAATGTTCATTCTTACACGCCTGTGCTGTGCTTCAGAAGAATATGAAACCAGTTATAATCAACTTTTGATTCTCAAAAGACTCCAGACGCACCAAACAAGCGCTCCAGGCGCTGTCTCTGGGGCACTTGGCTTTATGGGCAATCTGACTCCCATTCCGGGGCTGTGGTCCTGCTATCTCCTACAACCAACACCAGCCGGTTTTTTCCTGGCCCCACATTTGGAGACAGCCATCTGCTTGTTCCTAAACAAACCCAAGGCTCCTCTGGCAGTGGTTTGTTCTCGGAAGAGAACAGGTGAAAAGCCTCTGTTTTGGCTCGCACATTCAAAGAACGAGTTGGAGTTTGTCGAAGGAAGGGGACCAGGACACCAGCTGGTTCATCACAGGTCCAGTTTATTGAAGAAAGCATCAAACACTTATACAGCAAATAATAAGCTTATGAATATTCTGTAAGCCAAGCAATCTATTGGTTAAACTATACCATGAACTCTTCCTCATTCCTTAGGGGTTACATCTCTCTTTTCTCATGTCTCTTTCACTGTTTGTTATCCTACTACAGCTAGGCCCAAGGACACACTATCTAGCAGGTGCAGAACTTGGAATTAGCCACGGCTTTGTACTTTTCCAGTCTCTAGTCAGCTAAAATCCCAACAGGAGTTTTTCAGTTCTTGGTCTCAGAGTTGTTTTTGTATCTTATCTATAAAAATTTTTCTCCTGCCCTGCCAAGGTCTGTCCAGCAGAACAGTTCCAGGCACACTGACTGCCCTCGGGGCAGTGTTATCTCTGTATACTACAAACTATGTATAACATGTTTACAATTACTTCCCAACACACATCACCTATGTTAGACAATGAGTTTCTACTCTAAACCAATCCAAAAGTGCCAACATCACAGCAGAAGATGGAGGTAGAGAAGAAGAAGAAAGGCTGGACATGGCCAAGTCCCTCCATCTTGTTCCCAAAACCCCTATTCTAAAAACCCCAAAATTTACTTTTTCATCTAGTGATAATTTTATTATTACGCTGCTTAAACTTCTGCTGCTTTCAGGTCTTCATACAAAGCTGGTAATTTGCTCCAGGGGTCATAATCAAACCCACAGGTGCTCTGGGCTGTGTGCCAGGGTCTCTGAGCCCCCTGGCAGGGATCCCAGCAACTCTGGACTCCCAAAGGGATGAACTGAGTCCCGACAGTTTGTCTGTGCTCACACCAGGCAGGTAACTGTGAACATCCACTGCGCCAAATCCAATTCCTTCTGACCAGAACACTTCCAGCTGAGTCCCAGGAAGCCTTCTGTCCTCAGAGTTCTGGGCATTCCCTCATGCCCTCCCAGGACAAGCCACACACCTGTTGTGGCACACAGCCCTTTGCAAGAATTTTTAAAAAAATGGAAACAAAAAAAATTTCCATCTGCATAAATACGTATTTTCTAGGAGCGATAGCAGTGCTATTGTGGGTCCAGAGCAGACCCACACAGGTGACACTGAACATCTGGAAGGTCACTGTGTTTCAGCACCAGGAGCCCTGAGTTGTCTGGACAGATGTATGGACAGTTTATCCAACTGCATTTGCTATTCAGGGTCACTGTACTAGGGAAGCCCAGAAAAAGAGCATAGATGCATAAAGAAACAGCAGTAAAAATACCTTTCCAACTGCAGAGCAGAAAGTATTTATCCGAAATCAAGAAAGAACCAAGAAGCTGCAGACACTAGAGGGAGGCACTGTTACACACATGAGCTGTTGGTTGCACAGCTGAGATTGCTCTGGATTTAATTTGGATTCTACATTAATAATCTGGATTCTACATTAATAATCAGAAACAGAAAATGCAGCACAACTCATCCTCCAACAACATGCACAGTGTGAAACAGATGCAGCTCATTAAAAGCAGCTGGCCCTTTACACACCTCATTGTTCAGGGGGAAATACAAAGAACAAATCTTATGCAACACAAAATTAACCAGATACGTTTTTATTCTTATCCACTCTGAAGTGAAATGGATCTGCACTCGGGGAGACCTGTACCATACAAACCATAGCATTACATTACTAGAATACAGTAGTTTTCTGTCCAAATTAATAATTCTTTCCCTCGCCATATCTTTAGTGAGGAATCTATTGAATTATATCCATAAACTCCTATTCACAGTTTGAGGACTCCTGGCCTTAACAGTATTCATCACTTGTAACAAAAATGTAAGTCCACATCTGATTTCAGTGGATTTACAAGAAAGCTGAATAAAATTCCCTTTTTGTTTATTAAAAGGAAAAACCTCCTAAAGGAAGTGATCACACAGTTCTTACAAGATAGCTGCTGTAAAATCCACCAACACTACAGTAAACAAGATTAAAGAGTAAATGAAAACTTAACATTGTAATGATTAGGCCCAAGGTTTATGCCTGACACTTAGAAGAATTACTGATATTTTCAGTGAAGCACTCAGAACAGGATTAAAAAGAAAAGATTACTAAATTATACAAATTTGCTAAATTTAATACAAAACAATTGCACTTGATGCATAATGATTCCTAGAACACTCTTTAGCCATGGAAGAGATCAGCTTCTTAATATGGAAGGGTATCTCCTATTAAATCAGAACACTCTCCATAAGTATACTCATATTATATTTTGGGGAGCAGCACTGGAATTCTAAGTTGAAAACTAATTTCAGTTTTGCCAGCATGCAGTCATGCTACCAGTGCCATAACAGACAAATACCCAGGATGTCAACAGCAGTACTGCTGTGCTTTCATGTGTGAAAGAGAGAAACATTTTCTCCTCTAAGACAAGCAGAACACCATGTTTCAATCCAGCTAAGAACAGCAAGCAACTCTCCTAAGCATGCAATGAGGCAGAAGGCTGCTCTATGGCCAATTCCTGCAGTAAAGCTGTCAAAATTGTTTAGGAAGGAGGACAAGTATTCTTTTCTGGAAGCGCAGACACTTAACAGAGATAAGCACCAGCACAAAAGGATTTGGAGCAGCTGTTGACAAATTCACTGGACTGTGCCAAAAAAGGGATGTCAAATTCGAAATTATTTTTGCGTGCCTCCATCTGATTTCTTGCCTATGCTGTTAACTCGCTTTACACCACTCTAATGTTTCCTAACTACTTTCCAGAACCATTTCTGAGGTGTTTAGGAGGCAGGAAACACATAATTTTCTCTTTTCCCAATCATATTTCTTTTCTGAATTTTAGGATAAAATCTGTCTCCATGGGGAGGATCAACAATAGGCATAGGAAGCATCTCTCCAATAAGTGTATTTATTCAGGTAGGATTCCAAATGTCAGGAGAGAGGCCCTGCACTTACCTTTCATGTCCCAGGAGGACATTATTCAGATCTTCATTTACTTGTATTAGCTCAACAATTACATCTTCATTCTCCACTGTCACCAACAATTCCATGATCCTCTCCTGCATCATCCGACAGGTCTTGTACAATTTCTGCCCAAGGCAAGGGAGGGGAAAAAAATTAAAAATTGTAACTGTGGTCTCTCAGTGTGTCGGTTCTGGAGATGAATGGTAAGACACTCAAGCACTATAGAATCACAGGGAACATTCCTTAATTTACACAAACCACACAGGTACCAACCACTGCAAATGGAACAATGTCCATGTCCTTGATCTCTGCAATGCAGGGTCACAGCTCCCAGCACATCACTCCTACACAATCTCTACCTCTCGACCCACCTTCCTTTCTAAAGATATATGTGTCTCTAAAACATAAATTACAAATTGCAAAATAACAGAGACCCCCTTCTGGTTGAAGCTGATTAAACTCAGCAGGATACTTGGACATAATCCTGTTCAATGTCTGCTTGAAGAAAAGACAATATTAGTCTAAAGGTCAGAAGTGCTCTGTGAAAATCTCAAGCTCCAACTATTCGTTTAAGTGGATAAACTTAATCTATAGATTTTTGAGAAAGTAACACAAACCTTAAGAGAATCAGCAGATAGGAGAATTATGAGAGTTTATTAAGCAGAATTTTGCATTATTGCCTGGTGAAGTGGAAGACAGTTTGTTTATATTACTCTGCAAACTCTGCATGTTCAAAGAAACAAATTCTTTAGCAACAGGAACTTTAACTCAGCCAACATTTTTTCTCCTTCATACAACACTGGCAAATGCAGGCTGGCTCTGCTTAAAGAAACAAGAAAAAAGCGAGGGGGGAAATGACTCTCTTTGCACACTACTATTCAGAAATTGCTTTAATATTCCAAGTGATCTGATTTTTCCTCAGAAAAAGACAATACTTCATGTAAATCAATTATTTATTTAAAAAGAAATTTGCACCCCTTTGCTAAATCTGTGTCAGGATTGCAGAGTGCTCTACTTTTCAGTACTGTAGCTTCACAGCCCAGGATAAAACACACAAAACTGTGTTCACCCTAATGTCTGTAATTACATTTAAAATCTCCCCAACTGCACACTTTACTATGTGATTCATTTTTAAAAAAATGTGCATTTCTAAAGACTCCATTACAGACTGGCAAGTATCAATACTCAGCAGACAAGGAAATTGAGATACTAATTTCAGGCATGGATTTGTCTGAAAACTGGATTTTACAATGATGGAGTAACAGCTGGAATAACAGTCACCAGTAATTCCAATACATTTTGCTAATTCTTACCAGCTGCTGATCTGGACCCAAATTCCTGCACATCCATCCACTATTTGTTCATTATGTCTATTCACCATCCAGTACAAAAGTTTGTTACTCTTCTTGGCTGATCCTGAACTATTCTTTAACTACAGTTATTTATTGGCCAGCACATTATTTCCAGTGAAATATGATATCTTAAGCCTTGTCCAAAAGAGGGTGGGGAAAGAGAGGAGCCTGACCACTAATGACTATAAAGAACTGTAAACACTGATCAAGTTCACCTTGTTACAGTTTTTATTGAGGGATCCAGATAATCTGAAGTACTAAAATCAATGTCTCCAACTCAGTCAAAGTCTACACAAGCAGCTGTTTTAAAAAAGGATTTTGTTCTGTGTCAACAGAAGTCCAATCCAAGCATTACAGGTAGTGCCACAAACAAAAAGAGAACATTAAGCATTGTTCAAGGAACAGGCCGGCCGTGCCTGATGTTTTACACCACTCCTTGCACAGGGGAAAAAGAACAGAAAGAACAACAGTGAAAGGAATGAGTTTTCATTCACTCTCCTACATATGGAAACTCCACACCCTGTCCTCAACCTTTTGCCAACACTTTTATTACTGGGAGTGTCAGTAAGAATCCGCTGGTTTACTGTGGGCAGCTCAATCTGTGCACCCACACATGAAGTGTCATGGCAGGAGACAGGAAATAAAAGACAACCTTTTTCTGTTTCCCAGCCTTTTCAGAGATTGGACAGAGGTGGTCAAGAATAATACATCAATGTATTCTCAACAGCACCCAGTCAGGGTTCATTGCACAGGAGAATTTCTACCCCGGGGAGGAGAAGCACACAAGGCTTGCAAAAATTAGATCAGTTCTTCAAAACACCAAATGCTGCAAAACTGTCAAAAATGCTTCCTCATTGTAGCAGTTTGGAGGTGAGGTTAGAAACAGAAGGATGCAGTAAAAGCTTTTTAAGTTCTCAGAGACAACGTGAAACTGAAAAGCTTCCATTAACATAGGTCACTATTGCAATGCTGAAGTAATACTGTACTTTTAATTTCTGAACTGGAAAATACAGCATAAGCTCATAATATCACAGAAGGAGCATGAACAGGTTCACTGTCACATCACTGGACTATTGCAATACACCTCCTTCAGGCTACACTTACAGAGCACATGAATTCCTCTGTGGCACAGCAAGCTCCCAGTCTCTGAGGTCATACACACAAAGCCAACGCTTCATATTCTTCAGCAGCCCTCAGTCTGCCCCTAAGGGAGTGGTGATAATGAAGAGAGCTCTGCAAACTCCAGGATGGATATGAGAGTGACACTGTGTCATCATCTGTTCTCCAGCTGGAATGTTCTCGGGGCTGTTTGACAGAACACGCTCAACAGAGAACGCTCCATTATGAAATTCCTTTGCCACTGGAATTCCCTAGAGCTTAAATTTGCATTGCAAGCTGTATTGTCCTTTCCTGACTATCAAGATGTCAAAGGGAAGGTGAAGGAGATGGAAGAAAGCTGAGCAAAATGAGAGATAGAAACCTGTTCTTGGGTTCCATCTGTCAATCTGAATTCAGATATCTTGTTAAAAGACAAGATATAACAATTTAAAAAGCAACTATAACCAAACCAATAGCCCCATCAATGAATTATCATGTACCTGTAAAAGATTCATATCATCTGGATTTTCAGAGCCAGGAACATTTTCTTTCAATATTGATGACATGACTCTCACATTCATTTTTGCCATATCCAGTTCACTGTACAGTTTCCCAATCTGTTGGAATTCAACAGGAGAATATTGTGTAGGTGAACAGAGCAAGTAGAGTAATTTTTACCTCTAATACACACTTTCTTTCCCATTAGGTATAACAAGCATTATTATTATTATTATTATTAAGCATTGTTTTACTCTGGTAACACGACATGGAAATGAATAGAATTAGTTCAGCTTTTAAATGCGCACTCAAACTAAGATCCAAGCCTGATAACACTACTTGTTTTTCTTACAGTTAATCCCTCTCACTGATGTCCCTGTTCCTCCTTTTACTCACATACAGGGCAAGCAGGCATGCAAGAGAGCTGTCCTTTCCTTCCTGCTTTTTATAATAACCTCTTCACACAAGCCTTACGTGAAATAAGTTTGGCTTTCTCGCTTATCTCTGAACCAGCTTTTATCAATTTGCATAAGGGCACTGTAAGATGCAATCAGATATCCACACAGTCGAGCAGTGACTGCACAAAGCCAGCACTGAGGGTCCCTGCAGGGGCACCCAGGCTGCTCAAGCCACACTTTCACAGCACACCCCAGGCGGACCCACCCTCCCCTAAACCTGCAGTGCTGCACCTGCTCCGGAGTCAACAACAACGTTGGGCCTGCGGGAAGAGGCAGGAAGGAACGTTTGGCAGGAATGGCAGAGGATGGGGATGACTTTGCACAAGGCCGGGATGAAATCTGTGAAAACACAAAAAAAAAAAACCAAGAGCTTGGGTTGAACAAAACTTCTGCTCCTGCTGAGAGAGGAACATCTCTCAGACTACACATCTCAGACTATACGCTCCTCATCATCAGTGCTCCCAGGGAATTTCTTGAGCAAGTCCTATTTAAAAAAAAATAAATCTAATGGACATTTTGTGATGAAATGAGGCTTGGAAATCAAATATTTTTAGAAAGGGTTTGCAAATAAGTTCCATCGCAGGATGAAGTGGGAATGGCTTAAGAACAGGCTAGCAAGGAATAAATTAAGCCATCTAAGAGCAGAGAGTCCTTCCCAGAGTGCCACTGCAATTTTGCAGTGAAGGACAATTTGGAATGTGATCACGCTTGGAAGCAGTAGAAAGGCTGGAGGGCCAAGTTTGGGTCTCTGCAGCAGGTAAAACACAAAAGTCTCCTGGACTGAAAAGCAGAAACAGCCTGAGGGAGCTTCACCGGCACTGCATCTGAACTGACTAATAAAAAACTTCAAATGTAAACTCCAGCCTGCACTATACACTACAAACCCTTCACTTCCTGAAGACTAAGGTAAAAACTGTCCTCAGGTCTGCTAAGACAAACAGAAGGTTTGCCACTGATTTTTACTGGCAAGTACATTAGGTAGACAAAGTAATCTCTAATGCACCAGGTGAGGGAAAAAATTAGTATCTATTGAGAGCATTTTTCACAGAGCTTGTTGAAACAACCTTTAAATACATAAGCTTTTGTGTACTCCACTATTCAACCAGAAGATCAAACTTAGGATAAATCTGAATTATTCCTGTCTGCTCCGAGTATAGACATCAAATTCTATAATTGCAAGATTCCACACAGTGATGGATGGCTTTCACACTGCCCAAAGCTCTTGTGAAAATTCTTCTTTTAAAAAAAAAAGAAATCTAGAAAGAATGGCATTAAACCATGTACTGTATTTCCAGCTGCTGCACAATGTTCAAACCATACTTATATTTAATGTCCTAAATGCCACACAATACTACCTATGACAGAGGCTTAAATAACGCTTACTGTGCAAAGCTGGAGAGATACACAGACAATAATATTTTCTTATAGATTTCTATATCTCTCCATTTAATCTTAAAGATAGATGATGCTCATATTCTCAACAGTATGTGTTTTTGTGAAAACCTTACTCATTTTTGTTGAGGCTTTCAGAAGCTGACAAGTTTGGAGCACTAAGCACTCATTTATTTTGAAGCAAACAGCATGCACAGATCTTTTAAAGTCTCAAGACAGAGATGCTTCATTTCTGAGAACAAAACCATGAATCTGTACTTGAAAATGAAATAAACTACTCTATAGTTCAGGTTTCTTCATTGGTATCTTAGCTGTTACAACTGAAACTGATTCCTGCACATGTGCTTAAGTAATTTGGTCATATTCTGCCCTGAAGCATTTAAATAAAAAAACCCAGATCAAACACGCCTTCTGCATCCCATAAAATTAACACATCTCATTTCTGAAATGTCCTTGTGTATCCTCACCTTAGATCCACCACTGCTAGTGTCAGAGGATGGAAATTCCACTCCTTTCTTCAGCAATTCCAGGTAAACTTCTTTTACTTCGCTCACATCCACCATCCCTTGAAAACCTCGTGCCCAAACCTGGTTTTGAAATATCAGGGACAGTAACAGTCACAGAAACGGCCAGTCAGCGGGTCAGGAAAATGCTTTTAAAATGTATGGTCCTAAAGAGAGGTCATTCCCTTCTTCCACTTTGGATAACTCCATTCAGTGCAACAGGAACCACAACAGCTCCAGAGTTAAGCGTGCTTTCAAAAGAGGTTTGCAGGATTTACACAGGTTGCACAATTAAACATTTGCCACATGGCAGAGACTCTGTGAACACCCACAGTTTACTCCAGACTCACCATGATAAAGGTCAGGATTTTCTCCTGCATATCAATGGGCAGGTTGTATCTCGGGTTCAGCAGTTTCACCAGCTTGTCTTTGCAGAAATCCTTCTTCACAACTAGAGACTGGAATCTTGGGCCACAGTTCTCCACACACATCTCAAGCAGCTGCACACACAAAACCCCTTTGATTACACAAAGAATAGGGGGGGAAAACCCACAACTTGACAGCTTTTTTTTTTTTTTTTTTGTTTGTTTAATTTGTTTCAAGTAGTTGTAGGGAAGAGTAGGAATGGATATGAAGCATGGTCACAGCACTTACTGAACACATGGTACCTTAACAGCAGGAAATCTGCCAATATCTTTAAAAAAATCACTTGCACAGGTTCAGCAATAGAATTAATTCACTAGCACATAGGTACCCTGGTCTGACAGATTCTGAAGAGCTCTGCAAGAGAAGACAATCAGATTACTAAATGCCTGTCCTCTAATCTGCCCTGTAAGTGAGAGATTAATGATAAAATAGAAAAGAACAAATTCACCAACTTGGAGCACAATTTCTCCATGTGTTTCAAAGGTCACATTAATTTGAAACAGATGAGCTGAAATGTTCCAATTCTCAGATTCATCTCCATGAGGGAAGTCTGCTTCCAAAAACATGCTTCAAATGCTCAGAGCAGGATCCCTGCAAGCACTGTGCCTGCCCTATCAAACACAGCAGGATGTGGTAATGACATAACACTTCTCCCTTGTACATCTGGAGGTGGCTGATTACAATTCTCATTTTGCAGAAGAGATGTCAAAAACTGCCATTACATCCCAGTCACCCGGGACTTGGCAGGAAACTGGGATCAATCAGATCAGGTGCAGAACCAGGAATAGAACTCATCTTGCCTGGCCCAAATCTAAAGATGGATGATGACCCACACAGGGATTGTCACTCTTGTGCTTCTCTCTCTTCAATTGAAGCTTCATTTTCACTCCCAACGTTAAGAGGGAAGATAGAAAGGTGAAAGCAAAGGGCTGACATTAACAAAAGGCTGCAAAATGTCATGGGTGTTGAGACAAAATTTCCCCTGAATCATGTCACAAGACAGAATGTATTCTCAAAAGGATGCAAGTGTTTAAAGGGATGATATGGTGATCTTAATAAAAGTAGGTTAAGTATACTTTCCTATTGAGAGCAGACTACGTTTGACTAAGTGAAATCATTTTATTAACTCATTCTTTAGCCTCAAGACTCACGGATTTTTCTCCCACTGTGATCAGGAACTTACAGGACAACAGGCTGAAGACCAGAAGAAAATATATTGCCAAAATGAAAACAGGGTAGAACAAAGAGACACTGACAGACTGCTGTGCAAAAAGCTAACTTAAAGATAATTACAAAAAAATCTTGGCTCAAAACATTACTTTTCATAGAGAGTACATGAAACATATGCTAATAAGCCAAGTCATTTGCCTGTGCAGTACTTCAAAGATGCTTTGTGTAAAATATTTTCAACCCAGTGCATGGGAAAATTGTTGTATTACTCCCTATTATTAATTCCCTACTTAGGGGACTGAGTATTTATCCACTGAATGAAAGCACTGAACTAATGGTCTGGATCCTCCACACAATTATGCCAGCCCAGCCCACTCACTCAGGGAAAAACCAAGCTGGTATAAGAAAAAGAAGAATTTGACTCAATTATTTTTAACTGGACTATTAATGAACAAGCCACTTTCATGCTAATAACACCTTTCATTAGAATTTCAACATGGGTATTTATGGTGCAAATAGGATTTCACAGTCCCAACCACTTCCACTGGAAGGAACATATCCAAGGGGGCCAAGCCAACCACTGCTCCACACAGCTCAATGGAAACTCAACAGAAACACGTTTTAATAACAAAACTGGCAAATCAACTTCAATCAAACCATTGAACTTCCTGTCAATGGCAAACAGGATGTGAGAAGTGCTGGAATCGACAGAGCTGGTGCGTTCCAGGATAACTGATCCCAGAGATCTGCACTCAGCAGAAGATGCAAACTGCGTAACCCAAGGCTTCTGGTTTACAGGACCGAACCACAAAACTAAAATGATAAAAGGCATCTACAAAGAGGTGAAGCTAAACTGTGAAGCAGAAACAAAAAATGGGAGAAGTTGGTGAGTACAGCAGAAGGTCAGCTATGTACCTTATCAACAGAGACCTCACTCAGATTCCAAGACTCACTGCACATCTACAGCAGCCAGATTTGGTTCATAAAGCTGAGCAATGGGTGCAGCTTGTGAGGGACCCTTCTCAGCCCCAGGTGGCTGCAAGAATACCCAGATGAACAGCCTGCTTCTTCCCGTTTCTGACTCAAGGGGAACAAGCCATTAATCCGTCTCCAGGATTGCACTCCACTGAACACATCCTGAACACATCCTGATGCCTGCCCAGATGAGGTTTGGAACTGCAATGTGCTCTTTCCAAGGGCAGCATTTAAACCAAACCGGTATGAGCAGCTCTTTCAGCTGCCACTCACCAATTACAGTGCAGGGCCTGGGAACACTTGATCAAGGTTCAGCATTTCAAAAACACTGAATTTTCAGAAGTCTTGAATTTTTTAGATTTCACATTTCAAACACTGAGATTTGGATTTCTTTTGCTCCCACTTGATGTCTTCTTCTTTTCTTCTTTGTCAGCATATACCATAAAGTATAATAAAATAGAGTGGTACTCTTTTAATTGAGGAGCTGGAGGACTTCCTCATGCTTTTGTTTTTTAGATCCTCTGCTTTGTAGAATGCTAATTTAACAAACTAAAATCTGAAGGCCACATGTACCATGCTGATTTTTTTCTGCATCAAAAAAATTACACACAATTAAAAGGATAAGTGGAAATATTCTTAGGAAAAAATACCTGTCAAAATTTTATTCTAGGTAATTATAGAATGGCTTATGTTGGAAGGGACCTTCAAGGTCAACTAGTTCCAATTCCCCTACCATTCACTAGATCAGGTGAATGGTCAGGTGAAGTCCAACCTGGACTTGAACATTTCCAGGGATGGGGCATCCACAATTTCTGTGGGAAAATGACTTCCTTTAAAATATTTTCCAACAATATAATGCGAAGGTGAAACAGTAATTTAATCTTAAATTTCTGCCCACTGCTTTGAATGCAGGAGTGAGAGGAACACATTCAATAAACAATTTCCCCATGTGCTGCTCAGCTCCTGAGACCTTACAGGGATCAGAATTGGGGCGCTGCAGCAAATGCTTTACAAAACCAAGGGAGCTCTGTGCAGGTGACTGAACAGCTGTCTCAGTACTCATTACATAAACAGAATTTATGTACCTCAAGTCGACCAGCAATAAAAAGTCAAGTAACACACACACACACACACACAGTCTGTTGGATTCCTGCCTGAAAGTTCTAATCCCCTTCACTCTGATTGCACAACCTCCAGTGCCAGCCCTGATCTCTCGGTGTTATCAAAGCCTGAGCATGAGGCAACTCCAGGGCCTGACATAAACACCTCCATCCACGTGACTGCACAGGAACCTCAGCAGCTCAGAGCACCTGAAGCCAGGCCATAGCCAGCACATCATCCAGCTGGCACTCGGCCCTCTTCCTCCGAGTAAATAAAGCATCATCCAAGAGTGAGGAGGAGGAACACACTGCTGAGATTCAACACATCCAGTAGCAAAATCAGGGCTGACATGCGCAGTCGAGCTGCTTCCATGGAGATTTCCACACTCCACTCCATGTGCATCCTCTGGGAATGAGCTCCTTAAGCAGCTTCATTACAAGTATTAAATTCAAGGATGTCAAGGTTGAATAGTTAGCAGTGGATCAAAGTGCACTTCTAAGAAATGTGATTTGTAGATACGTCTTAGTTTTATCCAATGTAGGTAGGAGAGACAATCTGATGTAGAGTCTCAAAAGCTAGAGGACCACACTTATTGTAAAGAAATACAGGCACTAACAGTTCATCCAAAAAAAACCCCTTGTTTTTGCAAAACTCTGTGAGGAAAACAATTTTTAAGAGATGAGAGTTGCACAGGGAGGGAACAGCTTATGTTTCAGCGATTGAAAATTATTTCTTTTTTTCCATTTGCAGTTAATTGCTGTTGTCATCTAAGAATTTCAAAATGGAAAACAGGAACAATTTCATTAAGACAATTAAGAAGATAAAACCAGAAAATACAGCACATAGGAAGAGTGATGTGGGAAATGTAAAAGCCACACACGGCTAGCAATGAGGTCATCAAAGGAAAAGATTTTACACATGCTAAAATTATGGCAGTACTGGTAAAAAAACGGCAGTACTGGTTAAAAAAAAAAAAGAAAAAGGAAAAAAGCCAGAGGCACAGGGAGAGAGAAAGTATAAAAGATATTATGCAAGAACTAAAACTAGAAAGAGAGAGTTAGAAGAAAGGCTGGAACTTATTTAAATTTAAAAAAATAAGGAAAAAAGATTAAAGGACACAGGGATAAGAACTCTGCAAACAGAAAACAGCAGCTGGACCAAGAAAATGTGACTGCCTGGTGGGCAAGTTACAGGTGTCATGGGGAGAGGGTGAGGACAGAGAAAGGGGCTGGAACAGAACAGAAATTGCACTCCCAGCTGAGCTTGCCGTGTGCTCTGTCTGCAATACAACGAGCTCCCAGGTCAGTGTGATAAAGTTGTTCCTTGGATAGACCTGGCTCAAGCTCCTTCTCACACTTTTACATACTCAAAAGCTAAGCTACAGTGTCACCTTGGGTATATCTGCACTGTAAATACTCAAGGAACAGCTCCCAAGCCTAAACCCTGGGTTATCAGCAGAGACCATGTCAGATGGTCACAACAGGACCTCGCTGCAGGAGACAGAGCTGACACAGGGATGGCAGGTACAGTGCAAAGCCAGGGCTCCCACTATGCAAACACACAGAACACACAAAAATGTGACTCATGAGACAGTGGAGGAGGAAGCCAGGGAAGAAGTGCGGAAACAGAGCGAGCTAGAGGTCTATACTGACATGTTTAACAATTATCTGCATCTCTAACTTGTCAGGAGACACTTGGGCAATTGCTAAGCGACCTACAATTTGGCCCTATCCATCACCCATCTTCTTTAATCACTTCTCAGCACATCTTGATATAGACTATGATTTTGCACAACAAATACCAAACCTATGAGTAACAGTACTCAAAGTGATGCAGATAGGCCTCTAAAACCTCAAAAAAGGAAATGGTGAAGAAAATACTTTTAGCCAATTAACAAAAAGCTAAAATCCTCAAGAACCTAAATTACAAAAGATATGACTCTTGTCACAGTAGCACTACTGGTAGTCTAGAGTAATTCAAATCAGAAACTCAGGACTTAGGACAGTATTGGAACTTCCTGCATTAACATACTCCAGTAAATCTTACATTGACTGAAATCACAACAGCTCCCCAAACCCTGGGGCAGTTCAGGAACACTGTCAGATTCCAGAGGCCACATGTCAAGTGAGGATATTCCCAGACACTCCAGCCTTTAGGCATAACATCTGAATTTCACACAGCTCACTCTGCCTCTTGCTCCCTTACTTAACTCACCATGGTTACCTTTTCCTTCAAGTTTATCATTTATATGTGATAACATTTCCTTTTACCAAGCACGTATCACACATTCCACCAGTGCTGCACACTGTGCTCAGTCTGACTAAGATCAGCACCACAAGGTGAGTAATAGAATGGCCAAATGCAGCTTTTATGTAATATCCTAACCTCTATGTCCCTCACAAACAGGTGGGGCTCTCGCAGGACAGTCACTGGAGCAAATAAGAACTATCCTACTTTTACACAGAACAAGTTATCTCCCTACCCACCTCGCCACCAGAATTTGCATCACCCAGGAGCCCATGGAATGCCAACAAACCATCTGATCTGCACTGTGGCAGTGCCGTACACACAAACAACAAAGACTGAAAACATCCTGGAGAGTTGTGTCAGAGATAATTTGCATGCCACCTTATCGTTTAGACTGTTTGCCTTCTTAGTGTCTAATTAATATAAATATAGCTGTACTTACAGACAAGGTAAGCCTGATCTCCTTGTGGTTACAGTTTTTTGAAAGCTTCTTCTTCAGTGCTTTAACTGCATCTTTAGGCCTGTGACAAGAAATGAAAGAGGAGAAGTTACCAGTGATGTTTTCTAGTTCATAACTTCATCCAAGAACCAAAAATACCAGCCTGAGACACAGGACCAAATCCACCCCTGTGCTTACACCCACATAAAACCAGAGCAATTGCCCCATCGATTTCAGCAAAATCTCTTCAGCACTGGAGCAGAACAACAAAGCAGTGAATCAGGTTTGTTACTGCAGACTGTGCATTACTCCAGAGACTTGTGCAGAGATAAAGTTTTGCTCTGCAAAGTCTGCTCCAAAATGATGTTTTTCCACTGTTGTAGAATAGAATTACATATCTAGCTTTTATTGCCATGAAATGAAATATCAACTGCCAGATATATCAAGAGTTGACTGGCAGCTTTCATGCATGATGCAATTAGAAAATATTCTCCTGGGAGTGCTGTCAGGAGTAGGGGTGTCATGGATAACTTCCAATCTTATAATTGCAGGATGCACTTAACTCATCTGAGTAACTACCAGGGATGCATGGACAATCCACTCCAGCCAAGAGACAAGGGCATTCTAACCCAGACATTTTCATTTCTATATATACACCCCATATCTTTTAACTATCTGTGTAGGAGGAAAAGGGTGGAAGATGGTATCGAGGTTATCACACGTGGGAAGCAGTTTTGCCTCATTAATACGGACTGCCTATAGTGTACAATTATTAGGGCCAGCCCAACACTCATGATCAACATAAACAAGATGTCCTAACATCTCTTTAGGATCTCTCTAGAATCTAAGGTGGAGCAATAGGCCCAAATACAATGTTTCACTTAAAAAAAACTCAAAGAAATCTTTGTTGAAAACATTTCAAAGTCAATGAAATTAGGTGGGTGTTTACCACTACTGCATCTCTTTGTTTGAAGTGCTATACTTCATGAGAAAAAAAAAGAAAAAAAAATAGGACACATTTCTCTTTTTCTTAATCATATGCCATACCCAGGCACATCAGTAGAGCATCAAGTGACAGATGGCACAGGAGTGGCGAAGTTTCCCTTTTAGAGAGCTGTTCTACAATCCCAGTCCCATTTGCTTCCCCCACTGAAGCATCTGGAAATGCTCTGGTCAGGAGCTGGATATTGCATTAAAATAACAATTTGCCTAATTAGATGCAGCAGTTCTGCTGCTCCTACTATTCTGTTACAGACTGTGACTAGTAGTAGCTGCCTAGGAGGAAGTTACAAGGAGCTCCTCTGCAAGCTTAAGCTGTGCACAAAAGGAAACAGTTTATTTAAAAAAAGGCTCTGTTGCATGGAAACTTTACATAAAAACTAACACTGAGGGTCAAAGCGTGCTGTTGCTTATGGCAATAACCAGAAGGAAGTCATTATTACTGACATTCTAAGCACTAAGAACCACGGGTGAGAGCATGGAATCCAAAACAAGGAGAGAAGAGAAAAGTTGATACAGTAAAAAAGACACCTGCGCAGAAAGTAAGCCATACCTCATTGTTCTGGAGAAAACTCTTTAGCTAGTGTTAAAATATGCCCCTACTAGAATGAGTTCTCAAGATGCAATGTTGAAGCAGACATTACATGAGAACAAGTTTCCTTTTTTCCCCTTTTACAGGTGGAAACAAGGAAGTTCAGAGCAGCAAGCGGCTGAGCAAACCTGGCTGTGGCTGTTGGTGCAAGAGACCAGCTCAGTCCTGGGAGCACACCTGGATGGGATGGATCTCCCTGCACGGGATCCAACCCGCGCTTCACAGCCTGCCACAGACACTGCACGGTGGCGAGCTCCAAGGCGAAAGCCAAGAGTTTTAAACATTGTTGTAGGCACCCAAGCGCTCAAAGCCTTTTTCCAGGCGGGTTTGCAGAGCATGACGAGCAGATAAGAAACCTTCGTCACCACTTTGCTCTACCGTGTGTCTATGGGGAAGAACCTCCGAGCCTAATCCGTAAAAGCCCCGATGGGGAAAAGCTTTTCCTTGGGAGCCAAAGCCACGAGCTCCCTGCGCTATTTCGTTTCGGGTCACTTCACACCAGCGTCCTACGCCGGCTGCTCGATGTCGCCCTGCCCTCGAGCGACGCCGGCGCCACCTCCGCGCCCCGCAGCCCCCGGCCCGCTCGCTCACCCCTCCTCCGTGGCGTTGATCACGTCGCAGATGTGCATGAACTGTCCCCACTCCTCCGTCTGCAGCGACCCGAGCGTGGCCCGCTCTGAAAGGCCAAGGGGAGCCGAGGGTCAGCGCCCGGCGGGGACGGCGGGGAGGGCGCGGGGGCTCCGCTCGTCGCTACTCACCGACCAGGCTGCCCACGGCGGTGCCGAACGGGTCCCGCGGAGCCTTCCCGAAAGCCATGGCCGCTGCCGGCAGCGTCCCGCGGGCTCTGCGGGGCGGCAGCCGCGGCCCCGCCGCCGGATCCGGCCGCTCCCTCCCGCCCCGCCGGGCGCTCCCTTCCTGCGCTCGGGCGGGGCCGCCTCCAGGTGCGGCCGCGGCCCCTCCGACCCGATCCCGGCACCGGCACCGCCCGCCCCGCGGGTCGGGTCCCGCCCGGGCACCCCCCGGGACAGGGCTCCCACCCGGGCATCTCCGGGGACAGGGCTCCCACCCGGGCTCCCCTGGCACAGGGCTCCCACCCGGGCTCTCCTGGGACAGGGCTCCCACCCGGGCGCCCCTGGCAGAGGGCTCCCCGACCCCCGCCAGGCAAAGCTTTCCCTTGGCAACCCAAGCCGTCTTTCGGGTCGCTTCACATCAGCACCTTACACCGGCTGCTCGATGTCGCCCTGCCCTGGGGCTACGCCGGTGCCACCCCCGCGCCCCTCACCCCGGGCCGGACCTAAAGCACCCCCTGACCTCGCACAGCCCCGGGCTCATTGTCCTGCCCCAGGGACCTGCGAGCCCCCCGCTCATAGGCAGAGGTGGCTCAGCCGGGTCCCAGATGGGATTTCACAAGTGAATCCACGAGGAACTTGGCGTTCCGTGAGGCGAAGCTCAGGAACACCTTCAGAGCCCCTTGTGCTGCTGGTACCGCGCTGCATCCCGTGTGCACACACAGTGTAACCTCTGCACCCACGGGCACACAGCCCCCGCGGCTGCCCCTGCTCCTGCAACCTCCCCAGAGGCGCTTCCAAACCCCCGCCTTCCCTTCTGATCCGCACATTTGAAAAGAATACAAGCAAAGATCTCAAATAAACGGGGAAAATTCCCAATGGTGCGCCCAAGTTACATTCATAAATTCATCCTCTTTGTGCTCACTAGGAACCATTAACGTGTTCCTCCTGTCGCACGCACCTTTCTACATGTGGGACATCCTTGCTGCAATTACTATCAATGACTTCCACTGTGTCTCTTCATCACAAGCCTATCTCACACCTGTACAATACCTGGGAATGAACGATGAATGAAAATTAAGATGTCAGCTGTAATTTTTGTTGGCTGACAGTTGTAATTATTTCAGTATCAAACACACACGGAATCATATTAAATAGCCTCTGAGTAGAGCTTAATGAGTCATACAGTCAAGACATGATATAAGCAAATAAATTATTTGCCTGACATTAGAATTTAATGGATTAACAAAGCTCTATTTGCACTACGAGAGGGTTTTTTTTAGGAGCAACTAATCATACTTTCTTTTGTGTTTTGTACAACTCTGTGGCCCCATCTACTGGATGGTTTTAACGTGAATGCAGGAGAAAACCACATTTTTGGTGTACCTGCAAGTATCTCTATGAAAAACAAGTTAAAGAACTCTTAGGCAAATCGGTAATGTACCATGAATGTAGGAGTCTTTTTCTTACTCAGTCTGCAGTAAATGGCTGGAATCCATCATGCAGTCTGATGAGGCTCCATTTGAGACTGTTTTAATGAGCACATCTCAATTTTCCACACTTCTGTGATCCTGTTACTTGGCTAAAAGCCAGACACCAGCTGTCAAAACAGAAGTCAGTTTATTTGTTTTAGTTCACAGAATTTTGAAAGATATCCTCTAAACTTAGGTGTTTCACTCATTTGCTCTTTAACCCTGGAACTGTAATGAGGGCCCATTTAAATTAGCCCTTGTTAAACCTGCAACACAAGTCAGATCTCATTTCAAAGAGCATATTTTATTGAGATAATCAGGGGGGGAAAATTCCAGTAAAGCATTTTTTCATTGGAATTTACTGATTAAAGTTACTCACCGAAATCAGCTTTTGGTATAGATCTGTGAACTCCTGGTGGGCTTCAGGTTCTGCTTGAAACAAAACCTCTCTGGCTCTTCAGCCTTGTCAGGGCTGGAATCCTCAGAATTCATGAGTTGGTGGTCAGAGAGTCCCAGGAGAGCCTTGCACTTCTTGCAATTTTTCTAATATTGAAGAGATACTATTACATTTAATTATTACTATTAATGGATATTTTTGGCCCCTTGCAAGCACATAGAGAGTGTTATAAGAAGAAAGAAGGAAGAGGTTAAATAACTTTGCTTTGCAAAATGTTTTGAAACAAAAGTGTTTGGTGGCATAGCTTCTGCCTGCCTCAGCTCAGCTAACATGTATTATACCAACATAAGCAGAATTGTCAATGTGATTTCATTTTTACCAGAGATTTTGATGATGTTATGTCAATTATAAAAAAAAAAAAAAAACCCAAATTGCTACAGCTATGCAGAGATTCTTTTATTAATTTAGTTTTGCTGGCTTTACATTTCAGAGTTATATCTCATAAATTATTTTTAAAATCGTACTTTTACCTTATTTAGGTTTCAGTCCTGTTTTCAAAGAATCACATACATGCACAGAGGACATTGAGTGAAATACTTAAACAGCTGTCATTCATAAATTGATTTATGGCATTGACCTGTACCTGCTTTTGTTTGTTATATGAAAATTAAAAGCCATTGCAATGATTTTTTGGTTTTGTTTCAAAATGAGAGATTCTTAAAAGGTCCTTATTTGTTAGGCATTAAGTGAGGAGCTGCAAAGCAGTGTCTCCTCCATCTCCCAAGGGCTGCATTTACTCTCAGTGCCTTCACCAGAAGCCTGTTCTAGTGTGACTCTCCCTTGTTATCCAGTATAAGGGATAAGGGATGCAGTCGGTGGGATTCTCACTGTGGCTCATTAGACCATTGCTGGTTATGGCTGTGCTGGGAGCTTCACTTGAACAAACAGCTCCAGGGTTAAATCAAATCCCTCCTGCATCATCTCCATTAGCATCACTGCTTCACATAACAGCTAACCTAATCAGGAGCTATTTGGGAAAATAAATTAATGCTTGGGACCCAGTTGCACTAAGAATACAGAGCTGTCCCCAAATATCTATTTAAGTAATTATTATTTTATTATTAAAAAAAAAAAAAAACCAAAACAAACAACAAAAAAAGAAGAAATGTCCAAGTGCTGTTGTGTCAGCAGCAGGTTTAATGTGCCTGTTTAGAAAAAGGAACAAATCTAGCAGTGCCAGAAAGAGGGAGAGGCCTGCAGAGGGCAAGCTTGGTCAAGGAATCTCCTCATTTTTCATGCAGCAGCTATCTCTCAGCCATATTCGTTTTTCTTTCTTACTGAGCTTCAGGTACAGCTGGTTAGCCCTTGCAATGCTCTCCTGCAATTTGAAATAATTAAAAAAACCCCTCAGTAAATGCCATGCATTGGTGATCAAAAGCTAGGAGAGGGTCAGGGAGGTGGCATTTTTGTGGATGAGAGTCAGATTTTCACTCGTGACTCTGCTGCATTTCCTGGAGCACAGGCCCTAAGCAGCTCTCACTGCCCTGGGACTTTCAGGTGAATTTAGACAAATCTGTATTTCTCCCACTCCTAAAACACTGAGAATTTCTAATGATTTTTTTTTTTCCTTTAATAATACACTACAAGAGTCTCAGCTAATTTGAAATTAAAATCATGTCCACCTTCTTTTACATCAGGCTGAGGCTAGAATCTTGCAGAAAATAAGTATTTTACATCTATTTGGGGGTTTATTTTTCTGGGTTTTGTTCATTTGCTGTTGCAGGATTGTGTTTATTGAGGTTGTGAGGTTTCTGTTGTGGTTTTTTTTTTTTGGCTGGTTTTGTTGTTATTTTTCAGTTGGTTTTGGATTTTTTGTGGTTTTTTTGTTGGTTTTTTTTTTTTCTTCCCCAAGATATTATACATTACCTCCCTCTGGGATTTTACCCTCATCATATAGTGTTAATCCAAAAACTTCCCCTCCTCCCTTTCAGGAAACAGCTCTCCTTTTTCCCTGGATCAAAGCTGGAGATAAATATTCTATTATCTGGAGATAAATATTGTATATTCAGGAAACTTACCTAAGCCTTTTCTGAAGTTCACCTTCTCAGAGACAAAGATACAGCATCCAGTTCCCTGAGCTTCTTTCCAGATGTGTATTTTCCTCTAATGGATTCTAGATTTATAAAGAAATTATGAAATTATTATTATACTGCAGAATATGGTGAGTCTTTTCTCTAGTAGGGTAAATATTAAATATATCGTATATCTTATCCACTGGAAGGTAGAATCCTCAACTTGACTATCACAGGAAAACTCACAAAGAAAGAAAGACTCCCTTAATCTTAAATTATAGTAATTTTAGATCGTTTTCTCATTAATAGAATGCAACTGCTATATATATGTGTATATATATCAATATATATCATGCTGCATAAAAACAAGCTCAAAATTGAAAATTAGGTATGAACTTGATAATTCAGATTTTTTGTAAACTAACATATGAGAAGTTGGGAACTTTTCTGTTCTCAAAGGAAAGTGGCAAACAAGTGGTTCTCATTTAAGCTAACAATAAAGAACGTATGAATCAGCCAAACATCTCTTTGCATTAGAGGCTACCTGAAGAAGTTTATTTTGTGGGAGGTCCTTCAGGAATTTGGAGAGTTGTAAAACACACTTGCCCAATTAAATCAGGAATGCTTTTTGAGTTACGCGGTGCTGGTGCATAGCAGGACACTGAGGTTACACATACATTGCAATGTGCTACAAGTTTAGTTTAGTTTTGTTTTCAAATTATTAAAGTTCATGATGAAAATTTCTTATATCTCACTCTGAGGTGCAGTATAAATTTCTCTGCTTTCAACGAGCAAGCTTGAAAAAGCTTAATTTGTGCGCTTTTTAAAATTAAAAAATTACTTGATAAATGAGGTCTTCAGATTGATGTTTTCATCTCTAAGTGTGCTGAAATACAATAAAACTAGAAATAAGTTTGTCTGTTGTTCCAGAACAAAACAAATCAGCCAATCTCCAAATCCTTACATCTCCAATGTGTGTATAAGAACTTGAGCTACAGGAATCAACAAGTATCAAACCTGAACCAAGCTGATGTTTTCAGCACCAGGAACAATCTGATTAGTTGGGCAGCATTGCAATTATCAGCGGGGAAATCAATCCTGGAAGAAGCTCACAC